CTTCTCTCAACAATATTTATTGAAAAGAAATCTCATCTATGGAAAGTAACTTTTATTTACAAATTACGAACTGATCTGTTAATGGTAGTCACCATTAACAGATCAGTTCGTAATTTTTTGATCCCAATCCCCAGCTCACAGGATCAAAAGAACAAAAACGCCATCCAGTGACAAAGTGGTTGCCACCAAACCGTTGCCGGTAAAAGAGATACGACCTTCGGTTACACGCAAATGATTCGGCGACAGACTGTCGCCTCTCTGTCGACATTGACTTCTCAGATGTCATTTCCACCTCCATTAAAACTTATCTGTGCTTATCTACATACACCGGCGAATGTTCGAATGTATAATAATATGACCAAATATTCGCTCTTTCACCGATGTATTTTGTATGTGTCGATATTCACCGGAGAATATCGACATTCTCTAATTTCGGTCTTTCACAGTAACATATATATAAACAGGTCTATAATAATAACTAAAATTTGGGGAAATGGTTGACCTTGCAGTACTAATTGTTTACAGAGGTTTTTTCGTATGCTTTCTCAACATGCACAAGAGGTACCATTTGTGGCTGAATGTGGATGGACAGACAAGGGAAATAAGAGAAACGCAGAACTCTGGAAGCAATGCACTGAATTACAAAAAATATCTAAACCAAAACTAAATTCATTTGATGGATTATATAAGATTTTATAACTACACACAAGAAAGCCATATGATATAAACAAAATAATTCAATATTCAATATAACATAATCAACCTTTTATAGCCTTTTCTATGCTGATGCTAATTCTATCTTATGTTGTTAATTCTATCTTATAAATTATTTCTGCCTAATCGTGAGAGAGAGAGAGAGAGAGTTCACATTTGTTTATGGGCTGATAAATACCTTGATGATTGGCGATGATATCCTGTATCTTTTACTCTTTTTACCGGTGTTGTGATCACCCTCGTACACACTCGTTGAACCTTTATCCCTGGTACTGATTAGATTTAACCTGAAGCAGATCTCGATTAGGTATTGATTTAACCTGAAGCAGACCTCAGGTGAGGCCGAAAACATTTGTTCCGAAATCTAATCAGTACCAGGGATAAAGGTTCAATGAGTGTGTATGAGGGTGACAATACCCTGTTTTTAGGATGCAAGTTTCTGTTTTTAATGACTAATCATTTGATGGTAATGTGAGATTTGCCGATGGGGAGATGGGGAGGTTAATCCCTCTTTTTGTCAACATAAAGAAGGGGTGCAAGCATACTGTGGGTATGGTTCTCAACACTGAAACAATCACTTTTACATAACAAACCATTTATTTGAAGACAGTACTTATATAATTCCAGTCGAGAATTTCTTCTTTTGGACAGAAATTAACAGAGAATTCAGTCTATAGTTCACTGTCGTTCATCCTCAGTGATATCGGAGTCTTAATGGCAATTGGACAGAGTTTTAATCAGTGATAAGACAGCCCAGGGGTAGACTGACTGGAAAGTCAGCACTGTTCAGCAGAATGAAGATGAAGTTTGAGATGACAGGGAAACCAACACAGAGTTGAATGAGGGAGAAGCAACCACCCTTTGTTCTTGAATTTCAGGGTTTTTAAAAAATTTCTCCCTGAAATTCTTAATTTGATTGGTCCCAATTTTCTCTCTCCACCTCCTGATTAGTGCCTTTCCTGTTTCCATATGAAATTATATGACACAGGAAAGATCACTCTCTGTTAATCAATTTGACACTTTCATTCAACTTTGAAACTTTCACTCATATCTCATGCAATGATATTTTCTTTTCTGACACCTAAGAATTTTTCTATGTTTTTATTACTTACAATGCAACAGTTTTTCGTTTAAAGAAATGCTATGTTTTCTCATTTATTTCTAAATTTTGTCATGTCTACAAGCATCCAAGTCAAAGCTCAATCTATCCAATCGACATTCTAAACATTCTAATCCATTAGTTCACAACTTGTGACCTTGTGGGGTCAACCATATTATTTATCTCATACCTATGTGACAGATCTAGTTCACACACTTTTATAACAAAATATTTTCTTAAATGAATTGGATTTTTGTATGTTTAATTTAATGAATAATTTGGACTCTGTTCTGAACTCACAGTAGATGAGGATTGGAATAGAGATGGTGGAAATTGGGATTTGAACTGGCGAGGAAAATGATGTGGAAATAAATAAGCTTGGCAACTGGTTAGGATCATTAGTAATAGAATTGGAAGTGGGATAGGCATCAAGCAAGCTGGACTGGATCAGTGAACTGACTGAATTGGATCAGAGATGAGAGACAGTTAGTCTCTACTGAAGTGATTGAACTGGATTTTTTGACCTTTTCTTGTCCCTTTTAAAAGGTTTGGTCTGCTTCTTGAGTTGATATGTCTCCAAAAAAGGCAATATCAGATGGAAACTTGGTTGTTATCCAATCCCAAGTTTTCTCTACTTTCCTGGATGAACTCTCTCTCCCAGGAAGAGGAGTCATTGAAAGGGAAGTGTTATCTTTGACAAAATCTTGTCACTTCCTTTTTACTCTTTCTAAAATTTTCTCTTTTTGTTAAAATTTATTTTAAAATTATTTTTCTTTAAAATTTAAACAATGATTTTTTTTTTTACAAAATTGTAACCAAGATCTCACACATGCTGATTGCATAATCTCTCATGTAATCTGGCCTGTTAGGTCTCCACACCTCACTTTCCTGGATTTTGGGATCTCTGGGAGACATTTCTGACATTTGCTTTATGAGAAACTGCAATATTGTACATAAAACTTCACTTTTATTAAAACTTTACTTATTAAACTTTTTCCAATGCAGGATATTGTATTAAACCTTTTCCACAGCACAGTAACTTTTCAGACACTATGTATTTATTTCTATTTAATAATTCAATTAATATCCATATTTATAAACTTATCAAAATTTAAGTGACACATTCACATAATAGTATTTAAAGTAATGAATATTAATTGATTGAACTTCTGATGTTGATTGTTGACCATGGGTTATGAATAGAGATGTAAATATTCAGAGCTTATCTCTGAAATTCATCTAAAACATTAATACAATCACAAGCTTTGAAAATGTTTATGCTTCATTCTCAGAAGTTACAAATTTGTAAATGTGAAGAACATTTGTCCATTACAATTTCTCAATGTGTGTAGCTCATGTCACACAGTACACATCCAACCAATACTCAAATTCTTTTTACACTCACTACAGTATAACCGTTGTCGTTCCTTTCAAATCAGCCCCAATTCTGCAGCTTCATGGTTATATTTTGCATTTCTGCACATGATGAGTAATTCCAACTTTGCAAACTGCAAAACACAAATTGCCTTCTCTATTGCAAAGTTGCCATTTTCATTTACAGTGCTTCTAGAAGCAGTAAACAACAAGACATTTGAATGCAGATGGGAGAATAAATTCAGACAGTTGCTCTATGAATTAGTGTACAGTACATTGCATACTTCTCAGATAATAATTAACATAATTACAGTAATTTAAATTGGTAACATTCACTTCAGAAGATCGTGTATATGTTGAAGTATAGTTACAAAATTCAAAATAAAACTTTAGATGATAACTTCTAATAAATGTAATAATAAATATTTAGATAAATAAAAATATAAGTATGAAAATATTAAACCTGCTTTTATATACTGATAATATTTTTTGATATTATTTTGCCATCAGCATCTGAGTTGCAGTGGGAGCAGGGACAATTGCTCTCTCAAATTTGAGCAAAACAGTAGGGAAAATTCAGGCAAAGCAAAAGCATAAAGATCAATAAATCATCAGTGATGGCAAATTAAAAATTGGTACTTGTGTTATTTGTGTAAAATTTCAAACAAAATCAACCCTCCCTCAACCAAAGTGACTTCATATGCCCAAATGTTTTACTGTTATAAAACAGTTATAAGTGTGTGCATTGTTTACATATTTTTGTAAATGATATTTGATTCAAATAATTGTTAAATATGATAAATTACTAATTCATTATTTTATATTTTAAGCATATAAACTTACTACAATTTACATATATATTTTTTCTTTTAGGAATTATAACAGTATCAAATGTGCATCAATTCACACAGCAGCCTTCTTATACATTAAATATATCAGCTACCGATGGTGTTTATTCCAGCTACGCACAAGTTATGATAGAGATAGAAAGTGCCAACCATTATAGCCCCGTCTTCACTCGAACTGTATACGAAGTTGCTCTAAAAGAACATCTTCCAATAGGAGTTTTAATTGTAACTGTGTCAGCCATAGATAAAGACAAAACAGAGTATAATAAAATAGAATATGACATACAAAGTGAAGAATTAAAAAATATTTTTCATATTGATTCTGAAACAGGTATATATATATTTGTATATATCTATTAATTAATAAATTTTTTAATGACAATATTTCATTCAATATCTACATATTTATCTCTAAAACATCGAAAAAATATAAATTTCTTCAATATATATGACGCACATGAAAAAAAATCCTTTTAATTGAGCTTGAACATGTTTGCTGCAGGAAAATTTTGAAGTTCTCTTGCTTCCTGTAAGCATGATTTCAATTCTTCTTGCTGATTACCTAATAATTTTAACTATTCTACTAACATCTAGTTTCTACTACGTAAATACAGTATTTCCAAGGCAAAAAATGTTTCAAAAATATATAGTGTTAAATTAAATATTATATTATATTTAAATAATTTTTTAAAATATAATTATTTTTAGGTGAAATATATACAAAGTTTAGTCTTGATCGAGAAAAACAACAACTTTATGAAATTCCAGTTGTTGCAATTGATAAAGGTGGTTTAATTGATTATTGTACCGTTCGAGTTACAATTACGGATATCAATGATAATGCACCACAGTTTTCCATAGTTGAATATAAAGCTAATATTCAAACAAACATGACTGTTGGTACAACAATTCTTAAGGTTTGTAAAAAAAAATCTTAAAAATCTTAAAATAATTATCGAAAATAAATTAAATATTACTATTTTTCAGGTACATGCTACTGATATTGATGATGGTCCTGCTGCTATAATAGAATATAGCATTTATGAAATTAGTAATTCTTCAATATCAGACCTTTTCGGAATCTCTCACAGTCAAGGAGAAATTTATTTAAAGAAATCTGCTGCTGGATTAGGTAATTTACATGTGTAATGTAGTTAAATTGTTGTTATTGTTAGATACTTCTTTTTGATAATTTTAGATTTATTTTGAAGAAATAATCATCATAAATCAAAAAACACATACTAAATACTCTTAGAAACATCAAAAAATAATTTTGAAATTAAAGAAAGTGGTGTAAACAGATCATTTATCAGCTATTCACAGACCAAATCAATTAACTCCATTAGTTATGTGAAAGATGTAAAAACAATATATCCTTGGAGTAATCATTATTACTTCATTGAGGTAGAATATTAGTGAATCCTTTTCTATGTGGCTTATAGAATTATGTTTGTTCTCAAAAGCTGTTCAATTGATTTTGATTAAACTTTACCATTTTCTATTAATTGCAATGAGGAATCCAAAATATAATAAAAAATGGAGGGCCATGACTTCGTTTTTGAGATAAAAGGTCGTTTCATAAGCGTGTGCAACAAAGCTTGTTGTGTGATGTTTCGTGGTTTTTAGCATGTCTTCTATGGGCTTATAGAATTGAGCTTGTTCTCAAAATTTAATGGGCCGATTGTGATAAAATTTTGCCATTTTCCGTTAATTGAGATGAGGAATTCAGAAATGTAATGTGGGTTTATTTAAATGTAAAATATCCATTCAGCAATGAGTTGCTTTGCTTAACTTTCTTGGCAACTTTTCAAATTTTAGTGACACCATCTGTTACTAAATTTTATTATAAAATGGCAAAAATTGTAATTTTGAGGGTAGGTATGGGTTTTATAAAAAATTATAAATTCTAATAATGAGTAAAATCATCATTAAGTCAACTGTACTCCAGATACGACACACAATCCCCCTTTATCTTTGACCTTTAGCCTCCAAAATTTAATAGCATCCCTCCCCTGGTATGCAAACCTCCCTGCAAAATTTCAGAAAATTTTGATAAAAAGCACAGAAGTTATTAAGCTTCAAACAGGGTTAACAAAATCGTGCTCTGCACACAAACACTCACACTAACACCAATACATACAGAAAAAACCCCAAATTTTTTTGTGTTTCTCATCATTTCAAACTCCCAAGTCCAAACGTAAAAATCTTGGGGGTCATTTTTTGACCAATCGTCATACTTTCCTTCTCTTATATATAACAGAGTCAGAAAAGTAAGGAGTCTATGACTTTGTTTTCCTTATACGAAGGTGACAAAATTAAAGTTTTCAATATTAAATTGATGATGTTCATGCTTGCTGATGTGACTGAGTGCACCTAATGGTATTTAGGCCTACAGGTCGGAAATAAAAACAGCGTTGTGTGCACCTAACGGAAAACAGGTACAAAAAATGAACAAAATGCAAGAACAAAGCAACCGATGGGATCACTTTGTTCTTGGATTACCTATCTTCGTCGGCAAGTGCAAGGATCATTTATCTTGTGGCTGGCAAGTACAGTACAAGGATAGCCTCTTTTCTGGAGGCAAGTGCAAAGTTTACCCATCCACATCCATTAGGTACAAGGATCGCCTCTTCTGTGTCTAGTAAATGAAGGGATATTTTTTTCTTTCCAGCTTCACCTCAATTCTATTATGATACAATAGTCTCAGGATATCCTGGTATGTCATTAGATAAAAGCTATGCCTGTAATAATACATTCTACAGTGTTTATTTAAATTTAAATTTTAAAAGAAATTTAAAAAGAATGTATATTATTTTATCAATTTCTCTACTTTTTGTTTTGTGGAGTTAATCAATTTGGCAAATGAGCAGTCATAACAGAATTAAACTTCCAATGTTTAGGTGCAATGCAAATTCTTCAATCGTTTGTATAAGATTTCACAAAACATGTGTATAAACTCACACAAAGACATTACTTATCCATTGACATAACATATGGTTAATTAAATACTGTGACCTTTCGGGTCGGCACCTCTTTCGTCCCCTGTCAGGATTGACACCACCATGTTTATCGGAACATGGAAGCCGAGACGGTAATTATTACGTCAAACCGTCACGCGAGTGGACAGACGGATTCATAATGTCAGCCAATTGAGAGACAGCATGTGGAAGAGACCCAAACTACACTTAACAATTAACAAGGTTTTAATTAAAAATAAATTGGATAAGATACAGAGGTTCTACCATTGGTTGCGGAGAGAGAGTGTTCACATAACTAGCGCAAGTTGCATAAATACCTGGTGATAAAAGGTGGTTTTCTGATGGAGCTCTTGTGGGATTATAATAGTTCCGATGGTGATTAGTTCCACTATAATATCCACTAGCACAATGATGGCACAAGTTATCCAAATTGGCACTGGTTGACAATATTCTGGGAGTAATCGGTTATGACTTTTCTGATCGGAGGGACTGATGATGACTGACTTTTTTCAGCCGTCTCTGGCGATATTCACGGATAATATCGGCCGTCCAGAGGTTAAAAGATCACAAGAAAGCATCATGTTGCCTTCAAGAAAATGTAACGGGAGACTTTCTCAGGTAGCTACGAACAACAATTGTTGCGTAACTCAAACAATATTAATATTAAAGTCTAGTTCAAATTTAGGGATTTCTGCTACCTCACATCACCTTTGTTTCTAGAAGTAAAGGCTCTTAAGATCATAATACTTTTAAATATAAAGAATGTACTGCAGATATTATGAATTATCTAATATTTTCAGAATCAACACATCCCAAACACATAAATTAAATCACATTAATTTAATATTAATAACTAATATTATGTTTAGTTTTGTTCATCAAACCAAACAATTTTCCAACTCAAACCAAGAATTTTTCTATTTTTTATATACATTACACATTTTGAAGTTTTTTATTTCTATAAGCCTGCTTAAGACTACAATTAAAATAAACTTAATAAATTATAAACCTGATAATTCCATACAAAAATACTACATTAAATTAATTTCCCTGGTGCTTCAAGGTACAAAGTTTGTGCCTCAACAATTGATTACACAATATGCTCCATGGACTACCAGTAATACTTCACAGAGCATTGCTGTAAATGTAGTTTTATTTAAAAAATAATGCAAACCAAACTTGTACAAAACTGCAAATGAGGCACAGTGTATGAGACTTGTGGCCTGTACAGTACATGTAAATTCATTCATCTAAGCCTTGAAACATATATTGTACCTCAAACAAAACTTTCAAAATTAGCATAAATATTTTTAAAAAATCAATTCAAAAAGCAAATCTGGACTTTCTGATATGAAAAGAATATAAATCTATAGAAAAAAGAGAATGGCCCAGGGAAACAGAAAAATTTTTTCAACAGTGGTAGTTTACGTTCTAAAATGTGGTCTGAAACAGTAATGGATTTATATGGGAAAAAATGCCCTGTAGAATATCAACTCTACAACCATCTAATGCAGTAAAAATTTCTTTATTTAAATGTTTTCAATCGTCTTAAATGATCTTTTTCAGAAAAATTACAGCTCCTAAATTAGTATAAAAAAAAAATTAGTGCTTCTAAAAATGTATAAAAGTAGAACTATCATTTTATTGCACATAAAAGTATACATAGAACATGTAAATCTAACGAAAATAATAGAAAATTAAAATTGGTTAGTCGCTCTCAGAATACGATCAATCACTTTCATAGTTTACAAATGGAAAAGCATTATACTTGCAAACACATACTTCTTATATATTCTCCATGGTCAGGTGTAGATGGCACAAGGAAAGTAAATCTTTAAACTGCAAAAACGATTTCCCAACATCAACAGATGTGAGAGGAGCGTATTTAGTTTTCATTAAAAGCTCCAGGTTTTGTGATTGAACATATTCAGGAATTATATTTTGAATATCTGAATTTTTGTTCAGGGAGTATTTCAATTTCTCTAATTGGAATACGTCCAACCAGTTTTTGGCATGTTTAAAAACCTCCTACTGCTTCTCAGTAGACAGACCATATTCCTCAAGCTAGAAACTGAACTGATGAATGAACAATGTAAAGATTTTTTAACACAGCTTATTGGTTCAAAAGACTTTTGTGTTTCATTGTGGCTGCTGAAGACTTTTCATCCAGTTTATTAATGAATGCTCCCATGAATGGAAAATTTTCAGCAAAAAAAAATAAACAAACCATTTGAATCCAGTGTCTCAACCTGGTTATTACAGGGTGTTTTGGGAGTAGCAAGTTAGTTATCTCTTTATATAGATGTACATTAACAGGACATTTAGTCAAAGCTTATTTCATTTTTAAAATGAAATCATTGGCCCAAGAAAATTCTGCCCTAATTGCTTCACATACCTTGTTAAGAAAATGGGTAAGATAAGTCATGTGTTTCAGATTCAGACACTTCAGAATATAAAATAAAGATCTCAAGGCATAGGAGAAGGTTTCTGCCTCCCTATAATTAATTACTGTCTTTAAAAGATATTTTGAAGATTTCTAATTCTTTTAGGTGTTTTAAATTGATTCAATTAGGACTTGATTGTATGCTATATCAGAGTCGTTTTCAGTAGCATATGAAGTCAAGATGGTAGAGGATAGGTTCTTTTTGATGATGTAGATATGCTCTTTAATCTGTTTGTTCAACAGTTCCTCCAATGAATATACACAAGAATTTTAGGACTAAATGATGATCGATGTGACTTCTAGTGTTAAAAGAATTTCTCTACTTGATGCATGACAACTTTTGGCAATAACATTAGATTGTCTTCAAAGACTATTGAGAATTGTTCAACCACCTTTTTTAAAACAATTCTCGATAGACTTAACCAAAAACTTAATGCTCAGACATTTTTAGTTCTCTGAGCACTAAGTTTTTGTCTCTATAGAGGATTGTGAAAGTTCACGCAAAAGGACACCAGCAAAAGGAAGCATACAAATATATATAAAAAACAATAAATTTATTTTCACATATAACGAACAAGATTCTTTTGGATTACAACCCTCTCAGTCACACAATTATAATAATACAACTTATGATGCTAATAAATGTTGGAAGATGACAATTAGCACACAGTTCATGACAAACAAAAAATATCTTGTCTCAGTATCTTGTATAGGACTTGCTAACTCTATTTTAATCACAATAGAGTTATCCTCCAACCGTTCAGATCCTCTTCTTGTCTTCCATCGCTGCTGAACCAAGACCCGGAGCACAACCTTTTACATCCTTTCCTATCGATGTCTAAACTAGGAGTGTCCGTTACCCCATACCTTAGCCCTCAGGGCCTCCTTCTTTTATTTTTGTTCTTGAATCAGTCATCAGTATCGAAGGGGAAAGGATTAGAGAAGAAAATTCTAGAAGGAAATAGAACAATAGAACAAAGCATAGAGAGAAAAACTAAACTAAACTTAAAAATATATGCAAATTATGGTGTACGGCCACAGGACTTATCACACACTATTGACATTGTCAGGGTAATCACATAGAAGTGGGTAGACACAGGTTTACTATGAATCTATTTTTAAACACTTTTAATTGTTTTAACTTGTTGAATAAAATAGGAATACTCTATTATTGAAAAACTGCAAAATTTAGAGTTAGCCAGAGATGATTCTGTATCAATCATATGGAAAAGTGATTGCAGGCTAAGAACCATGCACTTAAGTCATCCCCAGTCAGCACCATGGGTGACCTGTATGGTAATATCTTAAGTAATAGTTCTGGAAGCAAAGATCATATGGAGAAAGTCTGGGTAGCGTAACTCTCAACACACCTGCAAGGTAAGCAGGAGTTGTGGGTTTGAGTCCTGCTCCAAGCTAATTCTTATCTTCCAGAAATTCTAAATGAAAAAAAAGGTAGTATCTGCATGGGCACTATCTTTCAGTAAGCACAAGACAGGAAAAATATCATTAAATGGGATAAAATCATTAAATTATTTGATTTGACTCATTTCTTTTCATTCTACTTTCAAAATCTAATAGAAAAATTATATCTTTTAATCCTTTTTTCTCCTAAAAACTTACTTTACTCTTTATCCATTAATTTCAATTAAGGTAATTTTATTTTTTACTCTTTCACAGCTTATCAAGCCTATCAGTTTTTTGTCCGAGCACAAGACAAAGGTATTCCAAGACAAGAAAATGATGTTCCTGTGAGCATTGTAATATTACCAGCTGATGAAAGTGGACTTCAGTTAGAAAGCACTAGTTACGAATTCTTTTTGCCTGAAAAAGCTCCAATTGGCACTGTCGTATCAACATTAGTAGTGACAAAATCTGAGCCTGTAACTTATTCTTTTGTACCTGCAATAGAAGGATCAGATGCTCAATATTATCTTTCAAAATTTAGTATAGATGAAAGAGGGAAAATATTTTTAATGGCATCGCTTGACAGAGAGGAAAGAACGCAATATATATTAGTTGTAAAAGTTCAGTCGAAATATAATCCTTTATTTGTTGCAATGGCTCATATAGTTATTAACGTAATGGATGAAAATGATAATGTTCCCATATTTGAATCTAACCCATATGTAGCGACCATAGCAGAAAACATAAAAAAAGGCTCTACTGTATTAAAACTGATTGCTCATGATGCAGACATCGGTCGAAATGCAGATATACACTATAGTTTTGCAGCAGATTCTATGAAGTATGCAAATGTGTTTCATTTAGATCCCAAGACAGGTTGGTTATCGACAATGGTAACTATGGATAGAGAAAGTGAACCGTGGTATAATTTTACGATTGTTGCACAAGATAGAGGCATAATTTCTTTTATGTCTATGACCAATGTATTTATCAAAATCAAAGATTATAATGATAATCCACCATTATTTAAGAGGGAAATTTATGACACAGCCATAAATGAAGATGCTCTTCCGGGTACTGTTATCGTAACTTTAGAAATTGATGATGCCGATGAAGAAAGTGCAAAAGTTGAATTTTATATAACTGATGGAAACTTAAGGGAACAGTTTCAAATTAAACAAACAGGAGAAATATATGTAAACAAACCTTTAGATAGAGAAGAAGTTTCTCATTATTTTTTAGAAATTACAGTTACAGATGGTACCTTTGTTAGTAAGAATCATGTATCAGTCGATGTTTTAGATGCTAATGATAATCCTCCTATATGTTTAAAGGTAAACCATTTATATTAATTTCCTTAAAACTTAAGCAACATTGTTGCTTAAAATATAACTCATTTTTATCATTTTTTATAGCCAAGATATAAGGAATTAGTACTAGAAAATACCCCTCCTCAAACATATATATTAACAGTAGAAGCTAAAGATGCCGATGAAAGAAGAAATGCTCAGATGCAATATTATTTAACTGGTAAAGGTGCTTCTGATTTTGTTATTGATTCATCAACAGGTAAATATTTTTGTTTTTATTAACTCAAGATGCATATTTATTTTTTACAAAGTTTAAATAAGTATTTGAAAATCTTTTCAGGTATAATAAAGACAGCCAAACCATTGGATCGAGAAATTCAATCAAACTATTTGCTCATTGCTCATGTTCAAGATAAAGGTTACTTGGAGTGGGAATGTACAAGCATTGTTGAAGTATTGTTAAGTGACATTAATGATAATCCTCCTATTTTTACAAAATTAGTCTATTCTGTGGCAGTTCCTGAAGATTCGGAGATAGGAACACTTCTTGGCAAAGTTCATGCAACAGATAAAGATTTGGGTATGTATTTAAAGTAAAATCAAAAATATTTATGCAAGCAAACAGATATTTACACACAGCAGTATGTAATGAAAATGGTTTACATGTCTTAAAACATATAATAAACCATCTTCATTATATATTATTATATAAAATATAGATCAGTTTATAAATTTATAGTGTAAATGATACATGTTGGCCAATGCTATTGTGGATCATATAACCTGAACTGAGTAAAATTACTGATTTAATTTTAACATACTGATGATTCACATCAGTCTACTTAACTAAGGAATAATTTCTTCTCAGCAATATTAATTAGATAACTGAGATTATAATAATTAGTATTATTTTTAATTTTAACAATATTATTTCTTACATTAACATCCAAAGAAGGGAACATATTTAATTGTTTGACAAGCAGGATTAACGAACATTCTTTTTTTCTTGGACATGTCTCCAATTTTTGGCACTACAACCATACATTCTGGCAGGATTATGCATGTCTTGGATTTTAATAAACGAGAATAAAGTGCTGAGATCTTTTGTGTATTTAAAATAATATTATTCCAGTCAGATTTCTAGACATACCATAATTTTTCAGTTCTTCTCATATGAAAAATCATTTTGCAATAATATTATACATAATTATACCATAATTTCAGAAATATTAGCATAGCCTACTTATTTATTAGATTAGCATCACAATAGATATTAAAATATTCAACACAGAATAAATATTAAAATCGACTTCTATGTCTCTATATTATTATTTTATCAAGTCTTTATAATAAAGTAATATTCAGCCTGACTGTCATATTGTATTAGTTACAGAATAATTTCAGTCAAAAATAACATTTTGTATTGCATTTGTTGTTTTAATGCTAACCTATTCATTCAATGCTAAGAATCACTAGAAACAAAAGCTTCCTATCTTTTGTCATATTTTGTATGTGTATATTTAGCTTAAAATTATTACATTTTTCTGTCACAAAAAATAGAAACAGCAACACTGGAAAGTGAGGAATCATCACAAAATGTTTGAACAAGCAGGTGAAGCCCATGGGGCAAGTGAATGACATGAGTGGGGTGCAAAGTCTCTAGTATTTGTATAAATGTTTTAAATTTTGAAAACTTGGTTCAATTTTGCTTTGTCATACCATCCAATAATAGCAATGTGAAACAAATATTCTTATTAATATAGTTACAGTAAGCAAAAAAGAGAAATTGCCTCTTTCTAGAAACACTTAAGAGCATCCTCATTGTGCAGTATAGCTTAATTAACCCCTTCTTGGTTCTTCTTCAGGTAATTCAGCTGGATTGAACTCGAATACGAAAATATGAACAAATCCAAACACTGACGTGTTTCAAATGTTTGATTTGTTTGTATATTCCGTCACATGACTTGTTTGAAAGTGCTCGAACTTAATAATCCATATCCAAATGTTAGTGAAAGATATGTCAAAATAGATAACATACGTGAGTGTGAGATAAAACATAAATAATATTCTCACACATTCCCCCATCAAATATTTTTCTTTACAACTTAATAAATAATAAAATGCTATCACTCCGTATGTAGTAAGGCCTGCCATGCCTTGGGAAGGGCAATCTCATCCCTCATATTAATGCGTGTGGATGCGCTATAAGCCTTAAAAATCTCCATCTCCTCTAACCATTTCAGGTGGTTAATGTAAGGTGCGGTAAAAATTAATTGCGCTCTAGTGAAGCTTGCCACAATTTCAGGATCAGAGGCATAAGCAGAGAGAGAGGTGGTGCATCTATTGCGCTGTATATCAGAGATATGCTCTTTTAACCTAACCCCCCAATGAACGTTTAGTCAATCCTATGTATTTCTGTTAAACCATTTATCCCTAAGCTGGACAGCATATACGCCTGATAATCTCTCCATACTGGATCGATCTTTTCTGTTACATAAGATGTTACGTCAAACAGAGTACGGCATCTCCTGTATGCCAGGGTAACCTTTCATTTCTTTGCGATGGTGCTGTATAAAGACCTCAAGAGGGAGTTGAACATAAGAGGTATCCTCACATTTTTCATCCTCGTGTCACCACTTTGTGCCACTGCAGTAATGGTGGAAAGCCTGCGCCTGTATATGGTGCTCTGAGATTTTTCATATGATATTGTGGTAACCATGGGACCTGGCAATGTCTTCCAAGTATTTTAACTCTTCTGCAAGCACCTGGTGCATAGAAGAGTGTGTGTAGGCTCATTTAATCAATGCCCTGAAGGCTGCCATCTTGTATTGGAAGGGATCACGAGTTTATTATGTGGATATACTAGACAATTTGTGATAAACAAACATGTGTATGATGGATTCTTCAAATCTGATATCTAAATCAAGAAAATGGACTCTGCCGCTACTATGTTGCTCCATCTCAAGGGACAGCCCATATGGATTGTCATTCATTTCGCCTAGAAAGCGGGTTAGGTTGTCCTCCACAAGATAATAATGTTGTCGACATACCTTTCATAAAGGATAATGTCCTGGAGGAAGTTAGGCAGTGTCCTGCTCTCCAATTGCCTAATAACCAGTTTATGTTTTTATCATATTTTCGTATTCGAGTTTGATCCAGCTGAATTACCTGAAGAAGAACTCAGAAGGGGTTAGAAAAACATTTGTTTTGGAAGATTAACCTTTGTATGCACCAGGTATAGGTTCAAGTAGGACAAATTTTGCTACTGACTATTATTTTTATTAAATAACTTTGTATTTGGATGGACTCTTTATATGTATAAACTAGTAATCCTTTGATATTTAATCTGATATAAAGTATATACTTGGTATATTCCATAGTCTGTAGTCTTTAAATTTATAATAAGATGAATCAATCAATCAATTTAATCAATTAATTCAGCAAGTAAGAATAATTGTACAGTAAATCAAAATGAGATATTTTAATTTGTTAATATAAATTTTTGTATATATTTTGATTGATATATTCTTAAAATTATCTTCCTCGTAAGTTTACCTGAAGTCATTGTATCTTATTCCATTTTTACAGTGTAGATTATTTATAATCTATGAAAAATTCAATGCAGATTGTTCATAAATAAAAAAGATATTATCTAGCATCAAAAGACAAAAGCAATATATTACAAATGCCACAATGATAAATGATAGCATAAATTTCTAGAAACTAAATTTTAAACTGTTTTCTTTATTCAACAATTTTAGAGTCATAACTGCATCAACAGATTACACCAAAATCAAAAGTAAAATAATGTGAACAGAAAAGCACTATGTTATGTTTGTTTACTAATCCAAACAATTATTGTTTAAATTAGTAACTGAATTCATGGTTTAGAATTATCCTAAAACAAGTTGTTCTATTTTGAATTTGGTATATTCTATTGATGGAGTTAGAAGAATTCTGAAAATATTAAATAAAAAAAAAGTTTTTTAGAAATTTGAATTATTATTTATAGCATTAATATTGTGAAGAAACAGCTGTACAATACCTCACTTCAGTTGGCTATTTTAAAATTTTAACCAGCATCTAAAACTAACTGATTCTATTTGTAAATTGCATTTTAGCTTTAAAAGTTACTTAATTTAAACTAATTTATAACACTGGAAATCTCTATCTTGGTAATCATGTTGACATATGAGTAAAATAATTTACTTATATCTTATTATTATAGATAATCCAAAGTATTTTTTGCAATAAATTTAATTATTTAATGAGTAATTACATTTATTGTAAATAATATGAATTATGTAAAATAATAACACAAAATATCATTTTAGAAACATTGGAGATTGTCCATAAATTATGTAATACTAAGTAATAGGCCTACTGCTTTTTAAGTTTGATAACTGTATAAAGCAATATGGTCAATATTTGTTATGGAACACTATTTTTATACTTTTAACTACCATCCCATCCCCATAACACTGTAATGATACTGCACATATCCACCCCCAAAATTATGTAACACATATCCTTAATTAATCTCCTTAATTGTACTAAAGAATAATAAGCATTACAGGTTACTGAATGAATCAGTATTCTATTAATTACTTGTATAGGGTATGAAACACTGACATAAACAGTACAGTTTTCTATAAGACACTTCAGTAATAAAGTATCATTCTGTTATCCAAAGATTGAGACTCTAGCATAACATTTTTGTAAACATCCTCCACTCCCTTGTAATACATTGTAACAATTAACTGCATACCCACCCACTCATATCTGTGTTATATGATTTATAGAGATACTCTTAACAGCAACTATTTTTTCCCACTAATCAAAAAATTAATGTTACTGATATTTCTAAAATACTTAGAAAAACTGTCTTTACAATGTTTATTTTATTGTTTCAATATATATAATAAAATAAACTAAAATTTTAAGGTATTTTCATATACAGTACACATAAGTACTTACTTCTTGGCAATGTAAATGTATATTAAAAGAACTCAAGAATTAAGAACAACACTGAGTTTAGTTTATTCTTGTGTTTATTTTAATATTAAAGAGATGGAATTGATTTATCATCTTTCTCTACTTTAATTTACTCTATAAGTCTGAATTAACTTCTTGGTCAGTGATGTATATCATCAGATGAACATTTTTAATATTTTCTTCAGTTTTATATCCTTTTCATATAAATCAAATAAATTTAAATTCAGAAACATTCATTTTATATTAAAGATGTGACTTCTTTTATGAAAGACCTTTTCCATTAAATTGAGCTGATTTTTATGGATATCATTTTAGTTATTTCATAATATTTGTAGCTAAAAATGACTTCATTGTGCTTTGATATGCTTCATTATATTAATAACTTAACACAGAAATAGTATACATGAAAGGTTCTATTAATAGGTAGTAATGATGATGAAGACGTAACAATTAAAACTAAAACTGGATGTTAACACACAAATGTGATATGACGACTTCATAGTTTCATAGCCAAACAAGCCAAAAAAGGGTTCTACATATAAATATAAATGCATTGAACTTATCAAATAAATTAAATAAACTACTGTGATAAAACCAAAAAACTAGCAGAAATGGTAAAAAAATTCACATTAGCAAATGTTTCTTCCATATTAAATGGATATTGGGCTCTTAACATTCTAAATTAAACCACACAAAAGATAGACCACCTCAATTCAAAATATAGAAAACATTTATTGGTGGACTGAGCTTCTTGACAGTCTTGTAGACCACATAATTATGACGAGAAGCAGGTCTTCCAAAGTAATGAAAACAAATCTGCTGGTTTTTTGGTTTTTGTGACTGTAGTTCATTTAAGGTTAACCAGTTTCTAGCAGTTTTTATTTGTATACATAGCTATGCCAGCCAAATATTACCTAAGTAAATTAAAGCTAAAATGAATAATTTTATATTTTTAGAAATATATAAACTTATAAAAATAGTATATTTTTATTCTTTATATTTAAAATTATAATTTATTTTTACAGATATCAATCGGAAAATTAGTTATTCCTTTGTTGATTCTTCAAATGACCACTTCAGTATTGATCCCACAACTGGGATTGTACGCTTACAAGAACCCTTGGATAGAGAAACTAAAGCAATGTATAATTTAACTATTAAAGCTACTGATCATGGACTTTCTCCACTATATTCTACAACAACATTACTTGTTCTTGTTCAAGATATAAATGATAATCCGCCAGAATTTTCTCAAAAGCAATACTCATCCATCATTTCAGAGAATGCATCAGTAGGAACCGAAGTTCTTCGTGTTCTTGCTGCTAGCAGAGACAGCGGCATTAATGCAGAAATTACTTATTCTATATTAGGAGGAGATGATGATAGTTCCTTTTCCATTCATCCTAAATCAGGTACTTTCTTATTTAATATATTAATTGTGGATATACATGTATTCATCAACTAATTAGGGAATCCATTCTACCATTTCATTCATAAGTTTAGCTGAGTTGACTGTAATTTCACTTCATGGCTTCACAAAAATTACAAGGACTACTTGCTTTTTTCTGGAGTTTCTTATAATCTATAATCTAAATATTCATTCATCTTCAGAGTTAAAATGGCAAAGGCAGTAAAGAGTAATGCAGTTTGAATGAAGATTAAACTTCAAGATGCCTTTGGAAAATTAAGAATATGATAGTTCCAGTTTGAATTTAAAAAGATAGATGAGGCATTCAGAATAGAAGTAGCGATTGATGAAATTTGGAATGTCTGAAGTTCTGTTTAGGCTCTGAAGATGACAAGAAGTGTCTGAAAGCACTTATGTTACAGGTTATAAGAAAAATTTTTTGTCCTCCAGAAAATGGACTATATAGTTATTGTAAATTAAAATAACTGGAAATAACAATCATTGTCTTCATCATCCATAAATACATACTACATAAAATTGGATTATTAAGTTCAGCACAAGTAAATATACCAGAACTATTTGGCACAAATTAGTGACGTTCAAATTTTCATAGTGATGTTCGACTGGCTTTAACCTGAAGATGATTATTTAAAAATCATTGAAAACATTGTTTTTTTCATTAGTTTTATTAAGTACAATTTGTGCTGGATATTTCTGATATATTTATATGCACTGGACTTCATCATCCATGTTTTTGCTTGAAAAGATATTGGTTCATCTTGAAGTTTGTCAGCAAGGGATATAAAATGCAACATCAGCAGATGAACCAATTGGAAGATAGTCTCATATAATCTTAAATAATTATTATTACTATGTTTTATTTATAAAATTGTGCTTCATGGTTGAAAGTTGAAATACAATAGACATTCCCATAACTGAACTCATGTGGGTGGGAAAAATCCAGATAAGAGAGTGTAAGAATTTTTAAATAAGACTGTGTCATATGTGCCTACTGTATGTATAAAAAATGTTTATTTTGACTCTGACACTTATTTTTGACAATTACAATTACAATTAATTTTCAAAATATTATGTTAAAGTTGTTTCTTTTGTTCACAAATTGCTGACGTGCTACTACGTCACACCAATGCCTCATTATTGCATCAGTGGTGGTTAATTCATTGTGCTCTTCTATAAATTTCAAGGTAACCTTAATATAAAACAAAAGATTAAAAAACATACACACTGCAGTATGGAAAAATAGGATTCAGAGTAATGTATAATATTTCTAAAATTTTTGGTTGCCTTTGATCAGGCCAGATAAGGGAGAGTCTGGATACGGGAGGGCCAGATGTAGAAGAGTCTACTATAGTTATAAATCTAGAGATACTTGTATAATCTTTAGATATACACAATAAGAGACAACTAAAGATTGTCTCTTATCACGAATATTGTCTTAATCAAATAATTTTTATATTTTATCATATTTTTGTAGCTTCTACTATTGAGAATATATCTTACATTCTACTTAGGTACTTATTTTAAATAATTTGAAAGCAATCTTGTTCTAATTTGCATTCAATTTAGTTACATTATACAAAACTGCATTAGGAGATGATATGTCCAAAAATTTTTATAGTATTAAATACATTAACTGAGATTGTAATTAAATTTTTTTACGTTTATACTATTTTTGAAATGTTGTTAAACCATAAATTATATTCATTGATTAGTTGTAAATCTTATTTACAGTATTTTTTAAAAGTTGTTTTTCAATCACGAATATAAGATTTTTAAAGTTTAATTTTCCGAATAACGTAAGTATCAATAGAGATAAAATTATTTAAAAAAGTAATAATTTATTCAAAATTAATTTTTTACAGTCAAAATCATTTAACTAAAATGCATTTTGGAGTACTTAGCTCTCATCTGAAGAATTCCATTATATTAATAATTTAAATTATTAATTAAATTTTAAAATAAATTTCAAGCTAATTTTTTTATTTAAGAAGTTATAAGAAAATTTCATTTTGAATTATTAAAATACTATTCATTTGTTTATACATGTCAGAAAAATATTTTTTTATTATTAACAACATTATCAGTGTTATTAATAATATTACTAATAAATAATTTGACAGAATTAGTTACCCGATTTGCACACTTAACCTTCTCAAGTTTGTAATTTAACTCCATTCTATAATATCCTTTTCATATAAATCAAATAAATTTAAATTCAGAAACATTCATTTTATATTAAAGATGTGACTTCTTTTATGAAAGACCTTTTCCATTAAATTGAGCTGATTTTTATGGATATCATNATCGTTGTCAGAAAAATATTTTTTTATTATTAACAACATTATCAGTGTTATTAATAATATTACTAATAAATAATTTGACAGAATTAGTTACCCGATTTGCACACTTAACCTTCTCAAGTTTGTAATTTAACTCCATTCTATATGAGACATAAAATAAATCTAATTCTAACCATATTCAGCAGATAGCATTCAGTTATGAATTTATAAGAATTTCAAGATTATATTTGATTAAATGAACAGATTTAAATTTTATTGAGAATTTAATGGAATACTTTGTATATATTTATTATATAGACTGATTTTAAATAGAAACATTGGTTATTTATAAAGGAATTATTTGTATTCACATAAAATTCAAGAATGAAAAATGATGTTTCAGAAGTAAATATTACATTAATAATTTAAATTGATATTACTACAGAAGAAATTATATTTCGGTGATTAAAAAGAAAGATTAGACTTTAAATACTCATTTAAAAATTTATTTTTGTTAATGTAAATTTGATTTGGAGACTATTATAAATTTATAAGTGTTTTCTGATAAAGTTTAGAATCAAAGAGATTTTTATTTTTTGTATTTTTAAAATATAATATTTTTTATTCAAATTATCTTTTTTAAATTCAAATAAACTTTATGTTTTGTTCTCTGTTTATTATTAAGGAATCATCACTGTTTCAAAAACATTGGATTATGAAAAAATACGAGAGTACTGTTTAACAATTAGAGCTGTAGATGGAGGTACACCTGCACTGAGTAATGAAGCAATAGTAAATATATCTATAACAGATACTAATGACAATGCACCTCTTTTTAATCAACCATCATATAGAACAATAATTAGAGAAGATGCTACGAGTGGAGATAAAATAATTCAGGTAAATCCTTAATATAAGCTGTAGAAATAAAGAAAACATTTGCTATATAAACTGAGAAATATATCTATATTGAATGATATATTTTTAGTTTTATTTTATATCAAATGTAAATATCTAATATGGAAAAATTTTAAATTTTTATTGACGCAAAGTTAAATAATTAGTCTCTTTGAAAATGTTGATGTTACTATTAGAAAAGCATGTTCCTTATTTCGTATTAGAATGAAAGAAAGAAGTTTACCTTTTTTGTGTGTTCAATTTTTATTTTTTTTATTTATAAATGTTATTAAATCTAGATTTTACATTATTTTAAAATTCATCTTTAATGCTTTTAATTAAAACTTTAATAGTTTTCTTAATAAGAGAAAATACACTGTCATTTGGTGTACTGTACCATCCAATTTCAGAGACTTATTTATGTACAGTACATATCTAACTTGTCTAAATACAATATTGTATAGGATATTTATTGTTGACTGGGCATGGGGTGTGGTGGCTGATTTTGCTGACTGATGCTTATGGTTGATACCACAAGAAGACTGGCTCTTCTTCCCTCAGGTCCTTCTTTTTACAGCCATATTTGCCAACATTGAGGTGACTTCTTACCCACTGAAACCAACCCTCCCAGTAGCTTTGCCCCTGATCCTGTATCAATAATAATTTAATTTGCGATCATTTTATAAAAATTATTAAATATAAAATATAATAAGAAATCACTTTACTTTCTTTGTTTAATCTATTATAATAAATCATTCAGAATGTCTTTGTATCAGTAATTTTCCTAACATCATAATTTTGCTTCAAGGCTAGAAGGATAAGCTAAAGCTAGGATAAACTAAAACATTTAATGATAATTTAATATAAGTGAAAATAATTTATATACTTAATAATTTGAATTTAGCAAGTTTTACATATTCTGGGTTCCTACGCACCCAGAAAGTCATGGATTTTCATTAGTGTTCAGGAAAAGTCATGGAATGTCAGGGAAAATTATAAAAATTAAAACAAAAATTTGAGTAGGAACTCTGCATACAGGATATTTACATATTTAGAATTAAAATAATATATACGGCCTTAAAAATTTACAGGTATACAAGAAACAAGAAAAGTTAATTACTGTTTGCGTGCAGAGAGGTTTTTTTCTGTTTAGATAGTATCATGGTAATTGTTTAATGTCAATGACATTATAAAATTAAACATACATTAGTAGTTCATCATGTAATTTAAATTTAAAAGAAGAATATTGGCAAAAATTCAAAATTAGCTTAGCAGTTTGTCTGTTTAGACCTTTGGAACTTTTTTATTCATGTTTATTTTTTTAATTAAATATCTAGATGTAGTTACTTTGGCGTGAAGAGCCTATCCTGGAATTAGCGCATTTAATGTACTTATTTAATTTCCACAAACCAATAATTGATATCCATATATATTATAAAAAAGTATTATGAAAACTAAATTAATGTTTACATTTTATTATTTAATGATAATTTAAATTTTATTCCTATAATTGAAATTTTTTTTTTCAATAATCTATCTTTCTTTTAACTAGATTTATTTTATGAATTATTATAATACATCTAAATTTGTTTCTGCTACTCCTAATGATAACTATTTCTAGTAATCAAAATATACAGATATTAGCATGATATATATATATATATATGATGCCGACTGGGGATGTCTTATGCACCCTGGTCTTACGTCTTTGGTACTCAATTAGTCAATCATATATAACTCGTATGATTATATTTAAAATTATTTCTGGAATCGAAGATTAGATGGAGGTCTAGGTAGCATAATTGGCAACACATTGCACAGTAAGCAGAAGTTGTGAGTTCAAGCCCTTTTCCAGGCTGATTCTTTTCTTTCAGAAACTTCTAAATTAAAAATTAATTTATTATAATTATTAAAATTAATATGATAAAGCAGCATATCTGCCTAACTCTGTCAAATTAATTAGTAACTAACCATTAACGTGGCCTAAAAATTTCCTAATAATTCATCAGATCATTTGGTTTTATAAGTGTTTAATTTATATAATTTAAAACTTTATAAAGTTAAAAATAAATATAACTTTTGTTTGTTAATAATGTACTGAGCATATATAGAATTTTGAATGAATAAAATTTCTAAAAATTAATTATGTATTAGATATAAAGTATGATAAATTTATTATTAGGTTATGGCTAGTGATGCAGATAGCACTTCTAATGCTAAACTTTATTACGAAATCATTAATGGAGACCGTCTAGGTCACTTTTCTATTGATAATCAATCCGGATATATTAGCGTTGCAGGAAATTTGGATAGAGAAATGGTATGTCTGATTTTATTTTACTTATTATTCATATCTATTTTATTTAATAACTTTTAAAATATTTAATATTATAGATATCAAATTATGTGTTGGAAATTAAATGCACAGATAGTGGAAATCCACCCCTTTATAGTACTGCACTAGTTAATGTTGAAGTCTCTGATGTTAACGACAATGCACCTTTGTTCTCTCAAATGAATTATACTGCAGTTGTACAGGTATTAATTAATTTTACAGCTTTATATATAAATAATATGTATAAACAGATAATATAAAAGTCAAAAAATTTTAATAATCCAGCATTTTGAATTAATAAACATACTTGATTATCTTAACTAGCAAAATCCTGTAGTTGCAGGTGTTATGAATGACGTGTAGGATTCTGGAATATAGGATTTTAGGATTATATTCTAAAATTCTGAAAATGCACTTGATTTGAACCTGATGATGGCTGGTTAAGCTAACTGAAAACATTTGTTTATCCAATATTAAATGCTGAATTATAAAGAGATTTTAGTTTTTATATTAACTTTATCCAATACTTAATTAAGAAATATTTTTTAATAAATTTTTGAGTTTGTTTTTATTGTTATACAAGATATCAATGAAAAAAGCAAATTGTAATGATATTTACAAATACTTGCAGATATTTATCTTTTGTCAAAACCAAAAATCTGTACTGCTATATAACAGAAAAGTTTAAATAGAAAAAAAAAACTTTAAATTAAATTTTTTTTTAAATTATAATTTGCAATAATCATCGTATGTAAATGATAATATAATGAATTAATATAGAATAACCAATGTAAAAGATTTTTCAATATAATAAATATAATGTACAGTACGAAAATATTCTGTGCCATACTTCATCTAAACTCTGTTGTATTACCAGTGAAACTTAAATTTTTTATACAGTTTAAATTAGTTTAGGAACACTTGCAATCTGTTAACAGATGAATCAATATAAAATTATTCCACTCTTTTCAGAAAATTGAATGAATAACACAACAATATCAGATTTACAATTTTAAATAATAAAATAATCAAATTTGTCTGTTTTTCAATTCTGTTATATATGTCAGGNTTGCAGTACATAAAGGTCCTCGTACATATTATCCTCCAAAACTTGTGCAGAATAAATTAAAAGAAAAGAGAACTGTGTTAGAAACAAGCACTGGATTAAAGTTGATAAAGGTATTAAATCGATATTATATAAATAAATCAATAAATTCAATAATTTATTATTGTTATTACTATTATATTAATATAAATTTAGAGTTACATTAAAAGTTTTATTATATATATAAATTGATCTTCTTAATGCCTAAATCTTGGCAATATTTTTAATTGTGAACAATGATAAAATACCATATTTACTCGCATATAAGATGATCTCACATATAGGACAAGGTGTAACTTTAGAGATCAAAATAAAGAAAATTAGAGTTATTAATACAATTCTGACTTTATTTTGTTTAATCACAAATAAAATATGAAATGCATGTAAATGCACACATTGTCCCGCAAAAATTACTGGCATTTTAAACTTTAAGGAAAAATCTTGTAAAATCGACAACATAATTTGTTCATGTAAAGCTGGACAATCGGAAACTTTGTTGCCAATTCTTAACCCCTTAACTCCCTTAACAGTTGAATCCACTCTTTGTCAATTACACTTATGAGTTTCTCCAAATTCTGATTTCTGAATAATCATCTGTTTTCATGTGGAAATGGATTAAAACTTATGTCGAGTTCCTGTGTGGTTTTGAAATTTCAATTTGGAATTCAATTCAAAACCTTTACTTTTTCTATTGTCTTTACTCCTGACAATACACAAGAACGATTCAAATGACCCGATAAAATATTTTTGTTTTTAACACCAGATGGTGAGCATCTTGTAAAAAAATGCAAATACACTATTCACAAAAATTATTGCAAAAACGCAAAGAATCCTTCGCCTGCACATATAGGATGACTTAGGTTTTTGAAGCAGTGAAAAATGAATAAAAACTTCATCTTATATGCAAGTAAATATGGTATTTTTTAAGTTATATAAGTGATATATTTTTTTTATCTATTGTTTATAATTCAAATTGTTGTTGGATTTTACCAGCCTATTTAAAGTCATATGGGAATTAATTAGCAGGCAAATTTGGCACCAGAAGTAGACAGAATTGACAACACTTAATAACTCATAATTATACAATAATTTTGATACATAGAAAAATGTCAGCTAAATATTTAATGCCTATATACCACATAAGTCATTTTGTGAGAGCTCAAAATTGAGCCATTTTCTAGTCATAAAAATATAAATTAGAATTAGTCAAAGATAATAATGAAGATTTAGTATATGGAACACTTATATTCTCATCATGCCTAAAGATTCACAATAACATCAGAAATCCTTTATTACATATTTTGGATTATTTTTAAATTATATAGCACCAATGTATTTATACATCTATACATTTTTAGTATATCTCTTTCACTTCGGCACCTGAAGTAGTTGCCTCTCTATGTCATTTATCATCACAGCGCTGTATATTTATAAAATTAATGATAATAAACGGTATCAAAATATGAATTTTAAAGAGCTAGCTAATGAAAAAATATATATCTATAAACGAAAATATAAAAATGTTTGACCTAGAATTGTTTCTTCAAGTTCACATTTCATTTTACTAACCTATTATCACTAAGAATAAACTTGGCCTCATTCTCTCACTTAAATGAAATAAAATTCATAGCTTAAACTGATAAATATGAGTGTGAGATTAAATTCTACAGTTTATTAAGTTACTAAAAAAATTTTTATTTACTAAATAAGTCTTAATTCTGTAGAAAATTAAAATACTTTCAAAGGAAATTTCATCACTTTCAAGATTCTGTCTGGAATAGTTAACTAATTGGCAATATGCAGCAATGATATCCCTATAATTACAGTTCTATATCAAATTAGCAATAAAGTTTTATGAGTTTAATTTTAACTAAAACAATAAAAGTTAAGTAATTATACTTATTACAAGAAAAAAGCAATTTAAATATAATAATAATAATAATAATTGTTTGTAAATTAACATTTAAATATATTAATTTTTAAATTGCATTAAACTCAATAACACAAACTGTATTAATAAAATGGATCAATTGTGTAAAATAAATAAAAAATTTAATGATTTAATTGGGATTTAAATCTTTTTTAATTAGAAAATCATTTCATTTGGTGATAAAGTTTATTCTTTTATTATTGAAAAATACAAAATAATTACATAATATGTAAAAATAATAATAATTTATATATATATTAATATATTAATTTTATTAATATTTGAAAAACTGATTACTTATCAATAATTACTTATAAACTGATCAATTATCAATTTATTCTACAACAAAGTAAACTTAGCAATAAAAAACAAAAGCTTAAATGTGTAAGCAAAAGTCAAGGCATAAAAAAATATCTTTAAAATTATATTAGATCAGAAAATGGCACTTCTTTTAACAATTTCTAAAATTATTTATAATTCTGTGAATTAATAATTAAATTATAATTAGAAATTAAGTATATTAAATTTAGATAAATCATTTTAATAATTATAGATATATTTGTTTGATTTTTAGGAAGGAAAGCCTCTTGGTTTTATGGTGTTGAAATTTTCTGTTATTGATACTGATGCTCCACCCAACACTAGTCCGTTCATATTTACTTTTCTTTCTGGAAACGAAGATAATGCTTTTCGACTTGTACAACACGAAGCGAGCCTACGGACAGCAACCAAATTTAATCATAAACATCACGATAAATATTCTCTTCGTATTCGTGTTACGGATAATGGTATACCACCTCTTTCGAGTGAAACTTGGGTTAATGTCGTGATTATTGAAGAGAGTCAGTTCTCTCCTATAGTAATGCCGTTAGATGTTTCTGTAAGTTCATATTTGGATGATTTCCCCGAAATGGTATTAGGTCGCATTCACGCAACAGATAAAGATCCTTATGACAAACTTTCATATGATATTGTCTCGGCTCACAAGCGTCTTTTCCGGATAGATCGTGAAGATGGCACATTGGTTGCTTTTCCTGGGTTAGATGTCGGAACATATAACCTCAACATCAGTGTGAGTGATGGAAAATTTATTGCATATTCTTCAGTATCAATTAATGTTGGAATAGTTACAGAAGAATCTTTGAAAAATAGTATTGGTGTTCGTTTAAACAGTGTCACACCTGAAGATTTTGTTCTTACATATCGAAAGGGATTTTTGCGAGGTTTGAGAAATATTTTAAATGTACGAATAAAAGACATAGAAATTATCAGTATACAGCCATCAGACAGCAAAAATGGTAAACAAAAACGAAACACTCCTAGAGATTTAGACATTCTATTTGCAGTACATAAAGGTCCTCGTACATATTATCCTCCAAAACTTGTGCAGAATAAATTAAAAGAAAAGAGAACTGTGTTAGAAACAAGCACTGGATTAAAGTTGATAAAGGTATTAAATCGATATTATATAAATAAATCAATAAATTCAATAATTTATTATTGTTATTACTATTATATTAATATAAATTTAGAGTTACATTAAAAGTTTTATTATATATATAAATTGATCTTCTTAATGCCTAAATCTTGGCAATATTTTTAATTGTGAACAATGATAAAATACCATATTTACTTGCATATAAGATGATCTCACATATAGGACAAGGTGTAACTTTAGAGATCAAAATAAAGAAAATTAGAGTTATTAATACAATTCTGACTTTATTTTGTTTAATCACAAATAAAATATGAAATGCATGTAAATGCACACATTGTCCCGCAAAAATTACTGGCATTTTAAACTTTAAGGAAAAATCTTGTAAAATCGACAACATAATTTGTTCATGTAAAGCTGGACAATCGGAAACTTTGTTGCCAATTCTTAACCCCTTAACTCCCTTAACAGTTGAATCCACTCTTTGTCAATTACACTTATGAGTTTCTCCAAATTCTGATTTCTGAATAATCATCTGTTTTCATGTGGAAATGGATTAAAACTTATGTCGAGTTCCTGTGTGGTTTTGAAATTTCAATTTGGAATTCAATTCAAAACCTTTACTTTTTCTATTGTCTTTACTCCTGACAATACACAAGAACGATTCAAATGACCCGATAAAATACTTTTGTTTTTAACACCAGATGGTGAGCATCTTGTAAAAAAATGCAAATACACTATTCACAAAAATTATTGCAAAAACGCAAAGAATCCTTCGCCTGCACATATAGGATGACTTAGGTTTTTGAAGCAGTGAAAAATGAATAAAAACTTCATCTTATATGCAAGTAAATATGGTATTTTTTAAGTTATATAAGTGATATATTTTTTTTATCTATTGTTTATAATTCAAATTGTTGTTGGATTTTACCAGCCTATTTAAAGTCATATGGGAATTAATTAGCAGGCAAATTTGGCACCAGAAGTAAACAGAATTGACAACACTGAATAACTCATAATTATGCAATAATTTTGATACATAGAAAAATGTCAGCTAAATATTTAATGCCTATATACCACATAAGTCATTTTGTGAGAGCTCAAAATTGAGCCATTTTCTAGTCATAAAAATATAAATTAGAATTAGCCAAAGATAGTAATGAAGATTTAGTATATGGAATACTTATATTCTCATCATGTCTAAAGATTCACAATAGCATCAGAAATCCTTTATTACATATTTTGGATTATTTTTAAATTATATACCTTAATCAGACTACATTAAATAAAGTAAAGTCAATTAACTTACTGAACAGATTTACATTAAATGTTTTTACTGATGTCAAAATATTTCAGATAAGTCTGTTTGTCTGTCCATCAAAAAAAGGTCACCAACTTTATCTTTAATTTTAATTAATAAAAAAATTTATTACTAAAGATATCCTCTAACTTAATCACCGGTACTAATAATAACTCTAAAGAACCTTTACTTCTGGTGACAAAATAATAATTACACAGGGGTTGCATTATATGTATATGATGAATTCATGTATTTGCAACTGTTAAGTCTTTGTTTTTCTATGTAAATTTAATGTTTTATGCTTATAACAACATATTCATAAGTATATCAGGATTATTCTGTATACATTTCATTCAACTTATATCTTTTTTACCAGAACTTTCATAGGTATCAATTCTTTTCATTATATAACAGATATATTTATTCACAAAAAAATTTTAAATTTAACAAGCTCACATTGAATATTCAACACACTAGACTTGTCTAAATATCTAAATGTTAATCTGTCATTCAAAATTTATCAATTAAATTAAAATTTATTACCTAATTGCTAAAATTATTATGTGTGTCTACTTCTAGAACAAATATATTTACTAAACTTAGTAAAAAAAATTCAAAATGTAATATTCTTTTCTACATTAATCAATATGTGTTTGCTTAGCAAGTGAACAAATATTGATTAACAAATTATTACATTATTTCATAAATTAGGAAGCGTTATAAATGATCTGCAGTCAGATATTATCAGAAACATTACTGTATTTCCTGTAATAATCACTCACATAAATATTCTTCATGTAATAATTATCCTTCTGACTTTTATTGTGAGCAATAAACTGCACTGATTGACCTAAATACTGATATATTAGTGGTGTGTTCAATATATTTAATAATTGACTGTCGATATATTTTCCAATATCAAAATCAGAAAAATAAACTAACATCATTATTGGTGTTCAATATTACTGATTTTGGGAATTATTGAAATTTACAAAGTTAATTAAGGTAATTCAAGTACTTCATTCAAATTATTTTTTATATATTTGTTGTGATATTCCAATTTAACTAGTTTTACATTAGTTGTTGCATCAGTTTTGTCTCATTTGGAATCATGCTTTTTTTCTTGTTTCTCCTTCTTTTGATGCCCTATCTGTTCTGGATGTTGGCTGTCATCATGCCTATCGTATTCCTATTGCTGGCTCTTCTGGACAGTTCTTCTGAAGACACTTCATACCAGTCCCCCAAATTTCTCAGCCATGAGATTCAACATTTTCCTGGTCCTCTTTTTCCATAGATTTTCCCTCGTATAACAAGTTGTAGGATTTGATATTTGACACTATTTCTCATCACTCGGCTGAAGTAACCCAACTTTCTTTGTTTGATGGTGTTGAGTAGTTCTTGTTGTTTTTTCTCATTACAACATAAATATTTTTTTACTCTAATAATCACTCACAAAATCACCCAGTGTTATTATTACAGGAAATATGGTAACTTAATAATTAATTCCCTGTTATGATTATAAATGAATAATATATAATTATATTTTTATTAGTAGTTTAAATTTTAATTAAATAAAACTTTATAAAGTTATNCGATTATAGAACGATTGTAAACGTTTCAGAAAATTGATCAAATTGAAAATAGTTCGTTTGATTTTCGGCAATTCTCTTCAGCGGTAGGTGTTATATAACAATTACTATGGTTATTGAAATATTGGATGTAAATGGGGTTTGCTTGCAAAACCTCCGCTGACGAAGTCGCGGGTAACAGCTAGTTAAATATAAAAGTGAAATAATTAATGATATAAAACTAGTAGTAAAAGTTGTTCCTACATAGATTCTTTTCATAGAAATGAATACACTTAAAACTTTGTGCAGGATTTTTAAGAAAATAAAGCAGTTTTTGAATGAAATAAATTATTTTATGTGATGTGCTAAGTACTTTAATTTTATTGTTGTAGATTTTTGAAGACCGCTGTACAGGTTCCCATTGCAATCATGGAAAATGTGATGATCATTCTGTCTTGGATGAGAGTGATGTTATAAGTGTTACGACAGAAGGATCGAGTTATGTTTCATTACGCCATAATTGGAAATTAGAATGCATATGTGATCCTGGATTTGGAGGTATTGGTTTTATTTTAATTCCAAAAGAAAAAATATATATTTTATTAGGAAATACATAAAGAAATAAATTTCTTTAGGTCCAAAGTGTGATCATCCGATCAATGAATGTTCTCGAAAACCTTGTCCTTCTCATAGAATGTGTGTCCCCGATTCTTCTCCTTTAGGATATGCCTGCCATTGTCCTTCCGGGAAAACTGGACCATTGTGTGATCGTGAAAGAACAAACGTTTGCAATAGTCAAATGTGTTATGAGGGTATTTATCAAAATGCCTTTTTTATAAAGTTATTAAATGTAAATTTTTTAATTTAAAATTTAATGAGTTTAATATATTTAAGTATATATAATTACAGAAAAAAATCCAATCTCATTTAATGGGAGAACTTATGCCCGCTATACATTGTCGAATCCAATTGATCGCCATTTGAGTGTTGCTTTACACCTAAGAACTGTTCAAACAACAGGAAATATAATGTTTGCCGCAGGTGCACGAGATTACAGTATTTTAGAAGTATGTCTGCAGTTCAACAGTTTTAAATATTAATTAGAAATTCATACAAATAAAAAAATTCTATTTGTTTTTCATTTCTATTTTTTCAGATTGTCAATGGTTTTGTACAGTACAAGTTTGATTGTGGAAGTGGAGAGGGATTAGTACGAGTAGAAAATCAGAAAATTAATGATGGTAATTGGCACGAAATTAGAGTTGAGCGCAGAGGAAATACTGCCGAAGTAATAGTCGATAAAAAGTTTCGTGTTACTGGAAGTGCTCCAGGAATTCACGATATACTGAACTTAGACGGAAGTGATGTTTACTTTGGTGCTGAAGTTAGACCCCATCCAACAGCTACAGGTTATGATGATGTAAGAATGGGATTTGCTGGCTGTATGGATAATCTCCGCATTGATGGTATTTTGTTACCTCTTCATCAGAGTGGTAGCAGTATTGTTGCAACATTGCGCAGGTAACATTTAACTTTTTGTCTATATTTGTACATTAATAATTACTTATTTCCGGGTGCAGTAAAGAAAATATCTTAAATTATAAACCTCTCAAACAAAATATTCTGTAATATTTATTCTAGAACATTTTATATTTAAATCCCATTCCATTGACTTTGGTCATGGATTTCATTTATAAAAAAAAGTTATATAAACTTTTTTATAAAGAAATGATACAATATTTTGTTCATTTGAGAAGTTTAAAATGAGTTTTATCCATTTAAAAAACTGTTGATGGCTTAAAACTAGCCGAAAACCTTTTTCAATTTAAAGTAAAGTGTTTGCTCTCCTTGAATAAACAAAAATAATAAATTATTAAATAAGTCGACCCCCCCTATAACACTTGATTTTTCTGTTTTATATGAATTCCACGTTGTATGAGTCACTTAGATTTTACAAATATGTGAGCCGTTCACAGCTTGGCACACGTATTTGTAAAATCTAAGTGACTCATACAACATGGAATTCATATAAAATGGAAAAATCAACAGTGTTATAGGGGGTCGACTGTAAACAGTTTCGATAATTAGACAATACAGTGATACCAAGTAAAACTTTTAAATGTACCGTACCTATTCAATTTGTGTTTTCTTAAACAGCAAATTCAACTGATGATGCTTTATTTGTATGTTTGAACAAAAGTATTTCTATTATTTTTTTGAATAAAAATACTTAGTATCATAAGGTCAGAGCCATTGCGAAGGTATAGAACTGATTAATTAATATATTATATACACTGTTTCATTTGAAAGATTTCTCGAATTTATTTATAATCTTTTCCATTAAAATCTTTCAAAGAATATAGAAAATATTTAGATTTTTGGTAACTTTGGCCCCAAAAAATAATAATTATTTCAAGATCATATAATATTAAGATATTGTAATATTATGTAATCTTAATCTTGTAAAAAAAATTTCAAAAAAAAAATATTATTTAGCTAAATTAATAAAATGCTTTCACTTCACTCTGCTTAAAGTGAAATAAATAAATAATCAGGGCAATGTTGAAAAACTTTAAGTTTTTCAATAAAGAAATTGTAGTGTTTATTTATTTACTTCACTTTAAACTGGATTTATACAAAGAATGCCACTTCATGAAGAAATGAAAACTTTCCAAGAATTTTTTAATATCTTAAATTACTTGATAAATTTTAAATTACCTCTAACTATATTTTATAATTCATATTTGGAATAACCTGTAAGATATTATTGTTAACTTCAGAAATTTTGGTTAATCTATAAGGTAGAGAATTGAATATAAATTTATTCCTGTCAGATTAATACAAAAATGATTATTTTTCTATCTCCCAAGACATAAACTGTTTCCTCACTTTAATTTATTTCAAATTTTATGCTTTATTATACATATTATTGCAATATAAATATTATTTTCATTAGTTTGTTCTGTAATATAATAAATGGATCTTAAAATTCTGTCTATTTATCAATTAATTTTATAATCCTCTAGTTGCATATAACAATATGTGCAACTAGAGGAATTGTAAATTAGAAGCAGCAGCAGCAACAGAGCTGGATTTACAAAATAGACTTGGTGTGGCCCTATGCCACAACATACAAGAAGCCCTTCTCCTTCACCAAATAATAATGGACAATATGTATATAAACAGTCTTTGAGAATAAAGTGAAGCCCTAAGTTATAGCTTATTTAGCTTAAGTAAATCTGGCTCTGAGCAGAAGCATTGTGAAATTAAATGCAAAATAATTATGAAATAGAGGTAATTTCAATACAATTTAATATTGAAATTACCACTACTTTAGTTTATAATTATTTTATATTTAATTTCACAATGGTTGTGCAAATGCTTCTGCTTCTATTAATAGTTTACTGTTCTTTTTCAACTAGTTTACAATTCATTTTCTATTAGTTTTAATGCTTTTATCTATGGCTTGCAATGTTTTTTATGCCCCTTCTTTACAAATTTGTCTCTGCAAATTTTTTCTATACTCTACAATAGGTTTTCCTCTTACAGATCCAACATCAGTACTTAAGAATTTGCAATCATAATTTATGGAATGTTTTTATATATTTAATATGGAAATTAATTATTTCAGAATTTATATTTAAAGAATATTTTAATTAAAAATAAAATATATAAAAAAAAACTTTATTTTGTTATATAATTATACTAAATTTTAGCATAATTTGGTTATTATTAATTAAATAATAACTTCTATATGTTTACTATAGGCGGCGCGCCTATAGTAAAACGGCTTTAATACCCAACTAGATAAACAAACCAATGGCAGTCGGATTTAAATGAAACGGGCTATGTCGTTGGCTCGCTTGACCAGCTGTATTAAAGCCTTTTTACTAAGCGGCGCGTCCTATATACTGTATATGTTTCACTTCAGAATTAAAAATTTATTAATTAATTTTTAAATTTCGGTATTTANATACATACAGCTAAAATAAAGTTCTAAAGTTATACATTTTATAAATTTTCTATATCCATAAAAAAGTTATATATTTTATGTAAAAAAAACTCCTGAATTTTGTGGTCTTTTATATCCAGAACTTATGTCTTGCTAACTCCTGGATTTGTAAGGAAATACCATTTATACAGTACATAAAGATTATTGTGTAATATCGCGAATTAATTTAACTCCTACTTTTTTAACGTGTCAATTTATTACAGAACTTAAAAGATCCTGTGTGTGCGCGTTAAAAAAAAAATTATAATAATTCTGGTGTATCGAAATTCACTTTTCCATTGTGAATTGGCCTTCTATTGATTATTTTCAATGCAGTTTATCTCGGAGAGTTTGTGGTTATCCATTGATGTTGCTAGGAGCTATCTGGGCTACTTGGCCAGAAATAACACCACACGAAACTGGTCTATTAAAGTTTCTTTTGATAAATGATGAAAAAAAAACCCGTATTTATATTTGTTCTGATCAGTTTATTCATGTAATCTTTTGGAGTCATTCCTCAGTCATGTTATGATTACCCATTAGACACGCAAAACACACCCCTGGGGCTCGAAATTAGAGGGGGAAAACAATGGCACAGTTGTAACTGTATTTCATGATTTATAAATAATTCTGTAACCAAAACTAAACGTTGTTACTCTACGATGATGTAAAATAATCTAGAGAAATCCCACAATCTTCTGTGCGTAAATACCCTATAAAATCTTATTCCACATTCATTTTTTTCTTTAATTATAATAGAAAAATCATGCTAAACTTCAGTGCAAAACGAGTTTTTCAGAAAACATATCCAAAGAACATATTTTTCACTCGGTTTAAATAACATTTTATTGACTGGAAACAATAAAAATTTCGACTAAATTAACTTAAAAACTTTATTCTCTCGTATAAATTATGTAAATATGAATTCGATTCAATGATGTGGATGAGAAAATTCGATTAAACGAATTTAAAAATTGGCACAATCGTTGTGTATATCCCACCTCCCTATGGATGCCGCGTTGAATGGAATAAAAATAGAGAGAGAGAGAGAGAGAACTGTATGTCATTCAGTGGTTTAGACCTTTCAAACGATACGAAATTTGTCCGTTTTGACCGCAGGGTTTCTCATGTTAGCAGTAAGAACAAAATTGTAGATCTAGTCGAAACGCGCTCGGAATTTTATATAAAGCCCAGTTTTCGAGATATTCACCGATAAAGAATTCGTAATTTTCCTATTTTTTTTCCGAATTTCTGATTTACCAAAGCCAATCGATTTATAGAACAAGTAAAAATAGTAAAACTCAATAGTACTTTGCCCCTTTGAAGATAGCTTTCCAGCAATGTAAATCATAATTCTGTTTTGGATGCTGCTTTAAATTTCTTTATTATTTAATCGTATTCGTTTGATTTTACTATATTTATATAATATGCTGTTTTAAAATAATAATTTTCAGCCTTAATCTGCTTGAAGANTGTTTTTATTAAGAATGCATTTAAAAAAAAAAAAAAAAAAACATTCACCAAATATTTATGATTGAGGATTCATCTCGGCTTCTATGTTGCCATTCATGGATGCCGAAATGGTACAGTATGTGATAAATAAATAAATAAATAAAAATTTCTGAAAGAAACGGCAGCTCATTTCCGATTAAAAAGGCTGTTGTGTATGGTTTGTACAAAGAATTCTCAGGTTGATAAAACAGCAGCAACCATTGTATATAATAAATTTCTTCCTCTGCTGTTGTAATAAAAGTGATTTATAGCGTTGGCGTTTAATCATTTGTGTACTAAACTTTAGACGTGTGTTTTAAATTTCGTAGAAAAATAAGTGTAATAATTATTGCTTTAATTATCGATTACATCTTCATTACACTCTCTTCTACATTGACAATAAATTATGCAGAATAAATAAGTAAAATATGATTAAGATTAATTTTTCGGTACTTTATATCAATTAGTTAATTTTTGTCACCGACAGATGGCACGATTTTATTACGTATTTTAACGGTAACGTTAACTTTGCAGACATGGATTTAAACGGTAAAAATATTTCAAATTTTATTTTTTATTTCCAAGAAAAAATAAAAATGTCGATATTTTAATATTTGCGAATTATACCGGATTATTATTTATGTATTGTTTTAAAGATTAAATCGTTAATTTAATCTTTACATCTTACTAAAATTTAATTAATTTAAAAAGTTTTATGTTAAAACTAATTGATATTAATAGTTTAAGATATAAAAAATAATCTATTTTATAGTATAGTTTCTTATAAACATATATAAATATGTTTATAAAAATATTCAGAAAATTTTTAACGAGTGATTATTATTTTAGGTTTGTTAACGTAGAATTTCATTGTCATTCTCTGTTTGATCCCGGTGTCTGTGGTTCGCAGCCGTGTCGCAATGGTGGAACTTGTATTCCTTCTGGAAAGAGTTTTACCTGTTCCTGTCTTCCCCGTTTCTTGGGTGCTCATTGTGAACTTGATACTAATCCGTGTGAATCGAGTCCTTGTCTAAATGGTGGAATATGTCACAATTTACATAATGACTTCCATTGTGATTGCATTTCGGGTTTCAATGGCAAAAGATGTGATTATGGACGTTACTGTAATCCAAATCCTTGCTATAATGGTGGAGTGTGTGAAGAAGGGACAAACGGTCCTATATGTAAATGTCATGGATTCCATGGTGATGTTTGTCAGTTTGATCTCAATGAATGTCAAGCTAGTCCTTGTGCTAATGGTGCCACATGTATCAATATTCATGGTTCATTTCATTGTCAATGTCCACCAAACATGACAGGACCACTCTGTACAGACAATTTGTTTACAAATTCGATTACTTCCACTACATGGAACACAACCATTGAAGAAATAATTGGCATCACTGTTGTTGTGCTATTCATTTTGCTAATGGCTGTGGGACTAGCATGCTATTGGAGATATCGCCACAAGAGAAGAAGAGGTCGTCCAAATAATCAGCCTGGAGATGATCCGGCTATTAATGAATTCATGTTAAAAAATCCAATGATGGAAAAAGACAATATAAAAAGACTAAGTAAAATTAGCAACTTAGAAGCAATTACTACATTTACAACTCCCCCACTGCCACCCCGTCCAACGTCATACACTCCCAGCACACAGGAAACACTAAACAAATTTGATACTGTACACAGCTATGGAAGTGTTGGCGACGATTTAGAGAACATATCTCGTTACCGAAGTGGTCTCCTTCAAAATTTAAACAAGGCCAGTATTCCTCCCTCACTACCACCACCCCCGTCCTCTGCATGTGCCTCTGACTCTGACTCCTTGCTCAAAGGTAGTTGGGACCAGGATCTGGCCACTAAAGAAAAAATTTATGAGGATAAAATACAAAATGGTAAGAAATCATATGTTAATAAATAATATTTTTAAAAAATCACTACTAAATTTTTTAATGTTTTCAGATCTCAATCCTATTAAACCAATTGAAGTTGCAACACCTGTGGTACCACTTAATAGTTTAACAATGCCACCAAAGCCTTCTCAAAAAAAAGGAAACAATACAGAAATGCCGTCCATTCTTAGTTTAGGATCTGTGGATGATTTACCAGGTAAAAAATAGAAATTTAATTACACTTTATATCTAATCATTAAAAGATTATAATTGCCATCATAACTATATATAGGGCATCAATATTGCAAGATCACCACTAGAATATCACTTCAAACTAGATATTAATCTCAACCAATTTATAAGAATCTTTCTCAACTTTTCAGAATTACCAGAGCAATGTAGCAAAAGATTGTCACCACCCGTACCACCGCCACGCTTAGCTGTGTGGAATAAGCGGTGAGATTTTTGTCCATATGATGTTCAAGGCAAATGCAGTTGCCTCTGTTATGCACTAATGTTTTAATTTCGATTTGGAACATTAATTAAAATAAGAAACCACTCCCCTTAGTATTTGGATGTTTGTTAAAGCTGAAATGTTTTTTCGAACACACTCTGTGCATAATCTGTGTTAAATCTAATCAAAACGCACTGAATATTTACCTAGCATGCTTTCCTTTTTTTATATATTTAATGTTTTATTTCATAAGGCACTGTTGAAATTCATGCCATCTTTTTTAAGATATATATATACAATACCAGCTATTCCATTATACCTGCTGTTTGTTGTTTTGTATGATTGTGTGTTTTATTATAAAGTGTTTACTAAATAATAGAAATTTTATTTACAATATACGGATTTTTAAAATTAATTTTTTTCTTATACAGCATATTATTATGTTTATTAAATATAAATTTCTAATTGACCTAATTTTTTTCTCTTTTAATTATGTTTTGTGGTAAAAATAGAAAGTTTCTTCCAAGACTAAATCTTATTAATGAGACAATTTAGCTAAAAGAGAAATCTCAAAGTCAAATTAAGTTTGAATAATAAAGATTTTTAGCTTTGCTCGTATATTTAATTTGACATTTCTTTAAATTTAAATATTTTATTTCTTGAATATAAATGTTTTTTTTTTTCTAGATATCTTTAAAAAAATTAAATCAAAAACTCAAACTAATAAGAAAATATACTGTATTGAAGTATATGTGTATTTATACATGAATCCAAATACTTTTGACTTCTGCTACCTTAACTTTAATGGCATAAATTCTTCCAAAACTAAAAATTTTTAAAGATATATGAACACTGGCAATGAAATGAATTTGGTTATTGAAAAACTTTCATTCGAGAAATAAAATATATTTCGATCTCTAAACGGAGATGTACAACAATTTGCCTATAAATTTGAAGTACTATTCAATGGAATCATTTTATAGAAGTTCCTCAAATGTAAAATTTAACCTATGTTTGTTTTCGTTTCCTTTTTTTTTCTTTCTATTTCATTTTTGTTTTTCTTTTAAGTTTCATTAGAATTTATTGTGATAATGTGTTTACTGTGATGTTTATTTCTAGTTTCATATTAAGCTTTTAATACATATTATGAGAAAACCATCTGTCAGGTTACCCTCTTATTTTGCTTATTACCACTCTAGGATATTAGTTTATGCAAATCTGTCACTTGCACTTAAAACATGAAATAACAATTTAATAATGCAATGTAACAAATATAGAGGAGTCGTCTGTATTTTTTATATTTGAATTTGTTCTGTTTTATATTTTTCAACTTTCTTTTNAAACAATTTCGAATAAGAGCTTTGAATAGGAAGACTTACAAGTGTTGACAGGAGACATACAAGATGAAATACCTTGATGTCAGCTGTTTGTGGATGATGATGTGAATGTGGACATGGACAAATTACACCGTAAGTTGGAAAAGTGGAGAGCAAGATTAGTAGAAAGAAAACGGAATATATGAAATATGCTTTTAGGAAGGTGCTTCTGAGAATGAAGACGATGTGAAAATTGAAGGAATAAAAGTGAAAGAGAGTGAAAGATTCAGATATTTGGGGTTGGTACTCTGGCAAGATGGAGAGATTGATGAAAATGTAACAAAAGAGTCACAGCTGGTTGGACTAAATGGAGAGGACTAATGGCATACTTTGTGTCAGAAGAATGCCTCCAAGATTAAAAAGAAACTTTTATAAAATGGTTGTTAGGCCTGCATTGTTATATGTATACTTTGTATGGGGATATCCCCAATTTTCCAACCATTTTAGAGCGAAATCGTGTTGTACAAGGAATACCTGTAAATAAAAATGAACAAAAATTAAATAGATAAACTATTATAGATTTCTCAAATAATTTTAGATGTTTTTCTAAAATTGATATGGAATGCATTAAAGTGATTGTGGAAAATGTTGAGAATGCAATTTTTTTGTGTGATTGATTTTAGTATTCTAGTGTTTATAATAATTGCACTATATTAAATAAACAAAGTAACTGTTTTATGTAAGAAGCATACACTTTGATTAAAAGATTTGACTGAAAATATTTATTTTAATAAAATTGCTGAATTTTTGAACTAGTGACATTTTGCCTATATTTATGAATTTTATTATAATTTCATTTTTTTGTTAATGGTTATGATAATTAGAAAATAAATAACAGAAAATTATTTATCAATAATAAACACTGGACATATAACAATATCAAGCAAGAAAAACTACATGAAAGTAAATGTTTTCGTTGGTGTTGAATGGGCATTGTCAGCCTAACTATGCCCAACACGGATGAAAATGACTGCATTCTTGTAGTTTTTCTTGCTGGATATTGGTTATATGTTCGTGTTTATTAATTTATACCCAGTTTGAGTAGTTGAATTTATTTACCACTATGTTAAGATTGGTCCACTGGTCCCAATAGCATGGTACACTCTACATGCCCAGCTTATAGAGTGTGGATTCAATGCCTATTTTAGATTAGTTTCTTTTTCAATAATTTTCTAAATTATTTAAATTGAATTTCTAATTATTAATACAAATTGTAAAATAACTGCTTACTGGTCTTTGAAGCGAATTTCTAAACATATACTAAATGCCATATCAGAGACACATTCTAAGATTTTGCAACAATGAGTCCTGTTCATACAGTATTACCAATACTTGTTGGAATACTTAATGTGACCTTGAAGCAGATTTATGAATCTGCAGCTTAATATTCAGTAGAACAATTCAATTTAATTAAAGCACAAATTATACTAAAATCAATACTATCAGTCATACACAATAAATATCAGTAATGTGTCATGGATTTTTTATCTTCAACTCTATTACAATGTAATTGTTAATGAAGCTAAGTTAATTTTGTTTTTGTACTAAATACAGTTTGGAATTAATTTCTATTTGAAGGAAAACATAATATGGTAGGCAAATTGAAAGATTAAAATTGAAGATTAGCATTGTAATCATTACATTTAGATAATTTTTATCGTAACGTTCTAAATCTATAACTTTCAGATGACAAATAATAGTTTTAAAAATTCCTGAAAACAAAAGTCATGCCTATATTTATATAAAGATTTTTAACACATACAATTTTTACATAAAATAAAAGCAAATATATGAAAAAATATATGTCATAAAATATTTCAAGATTATTAAATTAATCAATTTTTTATAATTATATTAATCAGTAAAAAATTAATAAAATATGATTAATATAATATATTTTATTAATATTTTATTGTGTATTATATGATATATATATATATACATTTTGCATGATAACATTGATACTATTTTGGTGATGGTATTTCATATATTTTCAACTTACGGTTATGGGTAAAAACTCTACCATTTTCTTTCTAATTATGCTTATTTTCTAATGCCACTTTCAGACAATAACAATGAGGATGAGAAGAAGAAAAACCAAGGTATATTTGATATATTATATTCACTATTCATTGCTTATTTGGGTTTTTTTGCATGAATTTTTATTTTTGTTTTGCCATTAACTTTTATTTTGTTTTTGTTTACTAATTATATTTATATTTATTATGATTTTATTTTAAAGATATTTAATTAGCTTTCTGTGCAATTAATTTGATAATTATACAGCCTATAATTCAACAGATTTTAATACCTCATCCAAACTGAATTAGAACTTAGGTTAGGTTAACCTAAGTTCTAATATAGTAAAGTATCGAGGTTAAATTAAAAACATATAATTTTAACATATTTATTTGCAATATATTTTAATATAATCATTATCTGCTTGTATTTTATTTATTTATTCACATTTAAAGTGTGTTCTATCTCTGTTACTATAAAGATGCATTTATGTAGTTGAAATAGTGTATATCTTCGTGCCAATTTAACATCATTCCTACATTTTTATAATGAGAAAATATTTAAAAAAAAAAAAGATATCAAACTGATTATTCTGTTAAAATACACCTGCGATATATTACCGATCCTTAATTTCTACATTTGTTTGGCATTGAGTTATCAGATACTGTTAACTGTGTCATTTTTAAAATTGATAATATACCTATTAATAAACTTTATATCTAATGAATTCTTTCAAATATTAGAATCATTTATTTATTTAAATTTTGTTTTGTCTGAATCAATTGTATCTCACAGTAATATTTTGAAGAATGGAACCAAATTCAGGTAAAGGATTGCATTGAAGTATTTTTCAAGTTCATTTCAACCTGTAGATTATGTTGCGCATCCCTGGTCTAATCTGTACAATTCGTGATAAACTATGGTATCAAGTTTGATCTTAAATCTCCCATAGCAGTAGGCTTTACATGGCTAATAAGATGAAAATATTTAATTTGTAAAAGTATACATACAGCTAAAATAAAGTTCTAAAGTTATACATTTTATAAATTTTCTATATCCATAAAAAAGTTATATATTTTATGTAAAAAAAACTCCTGAATTTTGTGGTCTTTTATATCCAGAACTTATGTCTTGCTAACTCCTGGATTTGTAAGGAAATACAGCACTATAGCTAATGGGTGTCTAAGATCTTACAAGACAAATGTTAGTTATTTTATTAAAGTCATGAGTGGATATAGTTGCATATTGCTTAAATTTTGTTGTAACGTGTTTCTAGTAGAATCATTATGCCAAATATTATTTCAAAATTCCAAATAGTCCACTCACAATTTGAAAACCTTTGACCTGAAGAAGATCCATAGAAATATTTGAAAATATTAGTCTTTCCATCCACAATTATTTACTGGAATTATTTATAGTTCTTTAAGATGTTTTATGCTATTCCAAGTAGTTTCAAAACAGAGTAAGAAATACTGTATATATTTTATTGATATTTGGAAATGAGAAAATTGTTGCATATAAACTATTTAACAAAGATTTTGAAAAATTAATCATTCTTGATTTAAATTAATAAAATATCCTTAAAAAAAATAATAGATATAATGAAAAGTGCTTTTTTTTATATATTTCATTATCAATAAGACGGAATATAAATTTGCAAACAATAAATAAGAACATCTTTCGTATTTTTATTATAAAAAAAAATACTTCATTAACTTATTGATACTTTCTATTTAATCCTATGCAGCTATATGCCATTGTTTGCCCAATTTGTATACCCATAGAGAAAGGGATGGAGCTGTACAAATAAGATAGAATCAATAATTTCTTGATTAATATAATTGAATCCTTCCTTTCTCTTGACAGAAAACAGTTTTTTTTTTTATAGTAATTTATTATTTTTTGTCATTTGTTTAAATGGATAATTCAGATTTATTAAAAATTGATTATAGGTTTTAGCCATTAAAATTGTATTAACTTTTATTACAATTGTAAGGAATAAAGTTAGTTTTGAAAATTCAGTCTGCCTGATATGTAATAAATAATTATACATTTGGGGAATCTTATATATAATTGTTTAAATTGGAAAATATTAATTATTAACAACGTATGTACAGGCATTTATAATTACGTTCAAACGTAAGCCGTTTGAATTCTTAATTTGCCGCAGATTTATCATTTTATTTTATGAAATAAATATGTAGTAACTCGTCATAAATGAATTTTTTATAATTTTTTATGCGAAATTCTGGTGTATGTTAAAACATAATTAATGTTTACTGTCTTTACAATATTTAAAGCAGAAAAGTTAATATATCACTACTATTTTCATACATTATTCATTTCTCTTACGTTGTTAAAAACATTTAAATAACTATAATTGATTGTTTAAACAATTAAGTAATTTTCTGTCTTGTTAACATGTTCATTATTTAACATAGTTGTAAGTTTTACAAACAAAACTGTTTAAAACTTTTAGAGGGGGAAAAAAATAATAAATGATTTTATTTGACATTCAACATGTTCTTACATTAATTTATAGTAAGATTCAATTTTTATAGGCACAGTTTATGTAGATTAAATGATGATTTAAAGGGTAGAGATTTATAAATAATAAAAATAAATCATGTAAATATTATTATTTACATGTCATACAATGTTTAAAAAACTCATTAAGTGTAAAATAAACCCTCTTCCATGTTTATTTTATGCTTCTTGAGTATATTTTGGTGTGGGTTGCATTATACTTGATTGAAAAAGCAATAAAAAAGAGATAGAAGAGCAAATAAATTTATCCTATTCTTTGTTTTTCCCTTCATTTTTTTTCAAATTCATGTATACAATGTATCAATCAATCAATATTTTGTACACAATTTTAATTTTACTGGTAAATTTGACTAAAAAATTAAAAAGTTAATTTTCAAAAATCAATATAACAGTATAGAAATATGATAATATAATTTTATATATGAGTCTATATTGGTATGTAGTACTGTATATAAGTCCTAGGCAAGTGTGGACTTGGGTTACTTTTTTATAATATAGTCTAAAGTCTATATCACATGGTAGTTAATATATTATATAAAGTTTAGATTCCGAGTGCTGGACCAAGTTCAGGTATACAGGAATATATACAGTAGCTCATTATAGTAACTCAAACCTCTAAAAGCATGAAGTCATAAGTGAAAGCCTGGAATACACTTCTAGAAACTCTGTTGCTGTGTCTAAAATTGCCACCGCATTAATCAATTATAACTAGATTAATCTGTTTACTATGTTAATTATCTATGCAAGTAACAAATATTGCTTATTGCTTAATGTGTGCCTATCATCCTAAGCATTTTGTTAACAAGTATTATTAATTAACACTTTTTAATGTATAAAATAATGTATTAAATTGAAATTTTTATTTCTTTAGGGTATCATTGGGATTGTTCAGATTGGGCATCAGCTTCACAGAAACCTGTTGCCAATATTACAGAAGTTCCAACAAATGAGATCAGAGATTCCTCCAGTGCCAAAAGCACAGATTCGAATAGTTGCATTAGTCAAATAGAATTATTACCATCTCGTTTACAAAATGAGGGTACAAATATAAATCTCTTAAGAAATGTAGAACCGTCTCCATGTGAAGAACTCGATCTTCCCGAATCTGAATACGTAGGCGATTCAGAAAACAGTGAATATCCGGATATTCGAGATGCTGAACCGCCAAATTTCGAAGATATTTTAGCATTGAATAATTTAGAATTTGCGGATGAAGGATGCGAGAGTCTTCCTTCGTCTCCGTTAAGGTACCAAAGCCATCCAAACCAATATCTTCCAAAACATTCGCTCGGAACCATACCCAGCCCCGATCATTCATGGACAACGCAATCTCAATTTAGAAACATTAGTGACATATCGGATGATGACATCGTCGCTTATGGATTTCCCACTCACGGTGGTCGGGGATTCAGATTGGATGCAGAATTAGGAACATCTCCACCAAATTTTCGGCATTCTTCGGGTCCTATGGATTGTATATCTGCAAGTGGATATACTTCTACAAATGCATCGTGTTCGGATATTTCTGCAAATGTTTGTGATATCGAAGACAGCGAAGTCAATTTTAGTGACACAGATTGCGAAATATTGGAAAATAAAAAAGTGGTTAAGAATTGTGCTCCATTGATAACATAAAATTTTGCTTTTCTTTTCCAACTTGTTACGTCGACGATTTCTACTAATTTTACTGTTGGACCTAGTTTGTTAGCAGTTTGAATAACTGTAGTGAACTCATCAATAATATAACATTAGTGATAATTATATTGTATCAAAAACAAATAATTTCACATATTTATGATGTGGTTTGATAAAAAAAAAAAAACAAAACAAACTACAATCACTGAACTTTTAAATAAGTGAAGATGAGTGAAAATATTGCCTTATTTAATTACTGTTTGAAAGTGTTGAGGGAAANTTTTTTTTTAATAAATTGCAAACAAAATTATATAATACGCTCCCTTAAATCTTCCAGCTTCTAGGAGACGAATGTATTTTGTTTATCTGACAGTTTATTTTATTTTATTTTATTTTTTTATCTTTGAAAGAAACTAAAATGGTTAACTGAATATTCTATCAAAGGAGCGCGTTGATTAAAATTTAACTTGGATCTATCGTAGGCTAGTTATGAACAGTGCTGAATCCAGAGGGATTTTTCCCTGTATTTTTGTCTTTTTTTTTCTTTATTTATTTACCTGAAATTTAAACAAAATTCATCTAAAAATGATCCCCCATCAAGAATTTCGAATGTATGAACGACACGCCCAAAAGAAGGGGAGGAAAAAGTCATTTAAATGAGGTTAAAGTTGGAAAAAAAAAATGGTTTTCTTACATAAAATTTGAAGTAATTTATGATAAATTTAACACTGCAATTAGCACATATATAATAATAATAATAATAATAATGTAGTGATTCCTCTTTATGGCATTTTTTAAAAGATAATATAATAATAAATCTGTCAAGTTAAAAATGAGAACTGAAGACGTTTTTAATAATCCGGAATTAAAAAAAAAAAAGAAAAATTTCAACTGCCAAGATTCCCATCAGACCTTCAGAATATGAAAATAATTATTTTATCTTACAAATTGTGGACATCTAACAATTATACAGATTATGTTTAGTTTATTCTGAAGTGAATTATAATTACAATATAGTTTTTTTTGTAATGTTAATCACATTATGTTTCTCGGAACGACAACACTCTTATCATTGAAGATGCGAGTAAATTTATTACCCGAGGAGGCCTGATAAGAAGGTAACATTTTTGACCACATCAGTGTAAGATCAAGCGGTTACTACTGCAGATAGTGGGGCCATTTATCCACAAAAAAAAAATAAAAAAAATACCAGCAGACTGTGCCAAAATCTACCTTTCTAAACTGTAATATAAACTTTTTTATACTTAAGGAATTTTTGACAATTTATAGAGTTTAAAAAAATGAAAAAAAAAAAAAATAATAATAATAATAATAAAGTTATGTATAAGTAATATGTGAGTATGCAGCTAGAAAAACAATGGTTACATTTTAATTATCTTATAATTTTCTATGTAATTTTAAGTCTTGTAATATCTGATTATTGCAATAATTGTGATTCGGAATATTGTTATCCATTTAAATTATATATATATATATATATATATATACATATAGTTATGTAGAGATTTGTCTGCTACAAGGCCTAGTGCAGAATATTTTGTGTTTTTATTAAGAATGCATTTAAAAAAAAAAAAAAAAAAACATTCACCAAATATTTATGATTGAGGATTCATCTCGGCTTCTATGTTGCCATTCATGGATGCCGAAATGGTACAGTATGTGATAAATAAATAAATAAATAAAAATTTCTGAAAGAAACGGCAGCTCATTTCCGATTAAAAAGGCTGTTGTGTATGGTTTGTACAAAGAATTCTCAGGTTGATAAAACAGCAGCAACCATTGTATATAATAAATTTCTTCCTCTGCTGTTGTAATAAAAGTGATTTATAGCGTTGGCGTTTAATCATTTGTGTACTAAACTTTAGACGTGTGTTTTAAATTTCGTAGAAAAATAAGTGTAATAATTATTGCTTTAATTATCGATTACATCTTCATTACACTCTCTTCTACATTGACAATAAATTATGCAGAATAAATAAGTAAAATATGATTAAGATTAATTTTTCGGTACTTTATATCAATTAGTTAATTTTTGTCACCGACAGATGGCACGATTTTATTACGTATTTTAACGGTAACGTTAACTTTGCAGACATGGATTTAAACGGTAAAAATATTTCAAATTTTATTTTTTATTTCCAAGAAAAAATAAAAATGTCGATATTTTAATATTTGCGAATTATACCGGATTATTATTTATGTATTGTTTTAAAGATTAAATCGTTAATTTAATCTTTACATCTTACTAAAATTTAATTAATTTCTCGCTCAGTAGATGGCGCGAAGTGTTAATATACAAATTTAAATACATATTGTATTTATAAAAACAATTATTAAATGAATTATTAAGATAGATGTATTTATTGACAAACTTTTTATAATGCCAAAAGAAAAGAGGGTCATTTATCCTTATTATTACACTTTCGAAAATAATATAATTTATTAAAATTTTATTATTTTTTGTTTACAATATATAACAACGTACTGTACCTATCAAGACTTTGAAACATCGTCGTCAGAACCTGAAGATTTTTTTCTTTTTTTTTTAATAAATTGCAAACAAAATTATATAATACGCTCCCTTAAATCTTCCAGCTTCTAGGAGACGAATGTATTTTGTTTATCTGACAGTTTATTTTATTTTATTTTATTTTTTTATCTTTGAAAGAAACTAAAATGGTTAACTGAATATTCTATCAAAGGAGCGCGTTGATTAAAATTTAACTTGGATCTATCGTAGGCTAGTTATGAACAGTGCTGAATCCAGAGGGATTTTTCCCTGTATTTTTGTCTTTTTTTTTCTTTATTTATTTACCTGAAATTTAAACAAAATTCATCTAAAAATGATCCCCCATCAAGAATTTCGAATGTATGAACGACACGCCCAAAAGAAGGGGAGGAAAAAGTCATTTAAATGAGGTTAAAGTTGGAAAAAAAAAATGGTTTTCTTACATAAAATTTGAAGTAATTTATGATAAATTTAACACTGCAATTAGCACATATATAATAATAATAATAATAATATATCTGTATTAATATTTTGATAGTATTTTGAATGTTAACGCGCAAGAAAATATCTTATCTTTGCCAATATTTGGAGTGACTATTCATGTATCACCTATTAAAATAAATTTATTAGAACTCATACGAGATATATATATATATATATTTATATTTTATATTATCAAATCAATTGACACTAAGACACAATCATTGTATACAATGACAAATTTATCTGGACACTCCAACCAATCATCCATCCAATCGTTCTTCCAAAGAAAACTATCTACCCTTACACCTATATATATACAAAAGGTCGCCCTCGGGGGAATTAACCAATCAACGTTGAAATTCCCAAAAGGATAAATAGCATCCGTCCTCCTATTGGCCAGTTTTTAAGAGGCGTGTCCATAACGAGGGCGTTTACTTGATGATTGGCAGTACTTCAGAATATCTGGGAAGAGATGTTTAACTTGCTCTCTACGGGAGCAAGTGGGTAACCCACCGAAGTACCCAAAACACCTGCGAAAGGTGTAACCGGACAGGATTGGTGGGTGATGACCTTCTGCTGGGAACATGACGATGGTGCTGTGGTGTTCCATTTGACGTCAGATACCTTTCCTGAAAAGAGAAAAGCGGTCAGAATCAGTCGTTCTAAGTTGCACCATCCATTAGTGTCAGTAACTGTGGACGACGCTGGCTCCATAATTGAAACAAATGGTTCAGTACACGCCATTTAGGAAATTGCCGGCCGGTCGACGCATCTGTTGGCTGTCTCTTTGTTGGAGATGCTGCTCTCGCCCCCCACCGTTCCACTTACCCCCCGAGTCATCTATGGAAAGTTTAGCTGGAGAGCGCTTTGTTATTAAATAACTCGCAGGTAGTTGAAGTGAAGAGGGATATTTATTGGAAATAAGGTGTGAAATACTCTTGGATTTCGGATTAAGATGAAATTTCTCCCTAAGTAGATTTATTGGCTTGTTTGGCTTTCATTATTTTTATTTTTGTTTCCGTAACGGTGACTCAACTCTTTATTTTTTTATTACTATTTTTTTTTTGTATACAGTGTTTACGTCACTGTAGCAGGCTGGATTTTGTTAATTATATTGAGAATTACATTATAGTTGCGGACACAGTAATCTTTACAATGAATTAATCTTTCCCTTAAAAATGCCATTATATAATGCTTTTAAACGATGCGAATTCCTTTGTTTTCAACCAGAATTTCTATATTTTAATAAATGATATATCGTTATAGGAATAAGCCTTGTTACCGTAACACGAAAATGGATTCCATATCGGCTTTCCTGATTCGTTAGGCCTCTCCTATTGGTGCGTTCGTTTTAAAGAAAGCGGGAATTCTGTAAATATTTAAATTTTTTTCTAGTTTTAGCATCCCTCTCCACTCCAAAAAAAAAAAAAAGAATCCAATTAAATTTTGAGACATAGAAGCAATAGAATCTCTACTCACCATTCATGATCTTTGAATCAGGGGGCGGCGGGGGTAACATGGCGGTTAGTTTGGTATCTTGGTTGGTTTCTTTAGCACTTGATATGCCGTTATTGGTGGTATCCGCCGTTGTGGTAGTCGGTGTGGTAACAGTATTTGAAGTAGTAGTAGATGTGGTTGTCTTGGATTGTTGCTGTTGAGACTGCTTCTGCTGATTCAATCGCTCTTGTTTACGGAATTTGGCTCTTCTATTTTGAAACCAAACCTAAATTTTCGATAAAAAAAAAAAATTATGTTAGATAGGCCTATAATAATTTATAAACTGGATTTACATTCGTTTATAGGTATGCAAATAGTAATGCCACGGCGTTATTTGTAATGCCGAGGCTTTTATAACGCTATAATTGAGACTCCTTAAGTATTTTTTTTTTTTTAATTTGTATTTAATTCTTTAAGCTTTTATAGAAATTTATAGTGGGAAAAATTAATACAATATTCGAATTTGCTAAGCTTGAAGCATTTAGCAAATTCTTCTACATCTACATTACTGTAGCCCAAAATTTTTGAATTGTGAATTAAGTTTGATAGCAAAACGAAGCAAGATTATAAGGTTTGTATCGCAATATACTAAATTTAAACTATTATAATACCATTCATAAGCCTTATAAATTCTAGTATGAAATTTGATTACATTTATCAAGAATAAAACAAATTTTAGTAGAAAAATATTTAAATTTTAATATAGAAATAATAAAATTAACAAGTTTCCTATAAAAATTTGCTATAAATCCTTTCATTTCTCATCATATTTTTCATAGTAATTTGTTTTATTGTGAATTTACATTAGGCCTAACTTAGTTTATTATAAAGTAAAAGTTAGTCATCATTTAAAATTTTTAATATTCATAATCTAAAAATATATTTGGAATTTTTTTTTCTCTCTTCTTCTTCTTCTTCTTCCTTTTTGTAAGCTTCGGATGCTAATCAAAAATTTAAGTAGATTTGTCAAAATTCAAATGAAGGTCCTTGTGTTGACAGAAAGGAGCAGCAGCTGGATCGACGCTCTTCTGTCAACATTAGGCAATAGATCTAAACTTAAGCCTATATGCTAACAGAATAATTATGTCCAACACCAAGGGCAATTTGATAAATCAATTATCTTTGGCGCTCTTATTCGGTTAATCTTACAGTTTATATAATACTTTACTCTTGTAAAGACTCAACTTTTATAATACAATGCATTCTATAGTGTACAATAATGAAAGAATTTTTGTTATTTGTTAGTATTATAATCGTAAAATTCGTTTTTATCGTCCATTATTAGCATGAAATTCGAATTTTCGTAGTGTATTTGTATGAAATTCAAGTTTTGTGTGATGTACAGTCGACCCCCCCCTATAACACTGTTGATTATTTCATTTTATATGAATTCCATGTTGTACGAGTCACTTAGATTTTACAAATACTTGAGCCGTTCACAACCCGACACACGTATTTGTAAAATCTAAGTGACTCGTACAACATGGAATTCATATAAAACGGAATAATCAACAGTGTTATAGGGGGGTCGACTTGTATTATTAATGTGAAATTACAGTTTTTATAGCTTATTGTCAGTATTAAATTTGAGGTTTAGTAGTTTATTGTTAGCAAGTTCCCTATGGTTTAGTGTTACTCGAGTGTTTATAGTTATTAGTAGCCTATATAATTTGAGTTTATGATTTATTATAAAATACAATTGAAGTTTTTATTGTTTATTGTTAATATGAAATTTGAATTTTTGTGATTTATTGTAAGCATGAAATTCAAAATTTTGTAGTTCATTGTTGGCATGAAAATCCAAGTTTTGTGTAATTTATTATTCAAGTTTTGTGCTGTATTATTAATATAAAGCTCGACTTTATACGAAAGTTGCTTAATGTTCATTGTTGAGCACGAAATTCGGATTTTTATAGCTAAATTATTGTTTATTTAGTATAAAACTGAAAAAAATATATATTTAAAAATATGTAAATTGTAGCTGTTTCAATATCAAATACAGTTTAATTTTATTGTTAAAATATTCATTAATTAGTATAAGTTATAACCAATTAGCGCGGGTACTAAATTATAAAGACAATATTATTGGAAAAAATATATATATAATTTGCATAATTTAAGAGCCGAATGCATGCAGAATCTTTTAAATAATTTATTATTTTCGATATTTTCTTAAGAATCTCGAAAAAAATAAGTTTAAAGTTGAAAAATGCGGAGTTAAACGCTTTGAGAAATGGAGTCGAAAAGAGAGAGACACACACACACATACATACAATAAAAACCGAATAACCGAAAAGTATATTTACCTTAAAATAAGTCGATATAAAAATATTCAAATTAAAATGAAATATTCACTAAAAAAATTTACATCAAATATATTCACTGGGTAGAAATCTCAAAATAAAATTTATAATGATTCTGTCATGTTGACAGAACTGCCAACTTAAAGACAAAAACGATGTTGACACTTGGGCTCTGAGAAATGGGACTTTTTCTGAAGTAAAGAAAAAAGTTTAAAGTAAAAAGAAATCTTAGTAGAATCCCCAAGTCCACAAAATGCGATTTCAAAAGTCGTCGGTTGCTAGGAAAAAATAAGGAAAAAAAAGAACAAGGAGGGGAATGAAAAAATTCTTTCCTTGACGTAAATTGACAGAGAGAAATGTGGCAAAAAATCGCTTTACCCCTATTGGCTAGTGATAAACCGCGCGAAGTCTGCACAAAAACCACTAAAAAAAGGGGGAAAGTCGATACAATATTTCCATTTAGGGGAAAAAAGAGGTAAAGCCGATAGGGGGCGTAAAATTGACATTTCATTTGTTGTCGTCATGACGACTGCATAGGTTATGCCCATTTATTTCTTGGGGAAAGGAATATCATATCGATGAATTGATGACATTTCTTTTATTATTATTATTATTTTTTTTTGGAGCCATTAAACGAAATTTCAATACCTGCTTTTATTATTATTTTCCATATTTAGAGAAGCAGACATATTTATAATTTATTTACAAAACACATTTCTGGGAGTGAATATAATTCAAAACAAGACCGACAATATTCAGGCCTCGTGGATAAAGAATTCATTTTTGATAAAGAACTTCTTATACTAAAACACTTGTCTAAAGGATTTCAGGCCTATAACACTGTTGCTATTACGGTATTATTATCTAAACAATTTAATAAAAACATCAAAGAAATATTTACTTTACCCATTTACTGAATTAGACACAGAAATATGGTATCTAAATTAAATTCCCTAATTACTTTGAACCATTAACCTTAAGCCAATGAATCAACACGCTTAGACCTACAGTATCCATTCTTTTATTATAATTATTAGTGTTATTTATTAATTAAGCCGCACGCATGTATTTGAAGTGTCTACGACAATGTAACTTTTTGTTACAATTGCATTTATATTTTAATGAGCCTAACTTATAATAGTTACTCCCCTTTATAACCTACACTGAAAATCTACCCTGCAGGCTATGTAAAATTCTTATGCAAGCTAAATTTATCGCAACAGGACATACAATATGGCGTCTTATCGATATATGTATTTGCATTTAAATTCATTTTTAGTTATAAAAATGTATATAGGCTATACTAAACTTATATTGTAGTAAGTATACTGATTTTCCTTTCGAAATTATGCTTCAAATATAGCCTGCAGGCATATTAAATTTCTGAAATAAGCGCAACAAAACGTTGAATGTATTACCATATTGATACACATATTTGCATTTAAATTCTTATTTGACAATATAAATTTATATTTATTGTGAGTTTAAATAAATATTTTTTATTGTTTTACAATAAAACTACATTTGTATAATTTGTCATTTCGATTTTGTACCTTTCCGAAACCTTCAAAACTTCTTAAGAAGATTAACGATGCCATTTGTTTATTATATTTAAAGCTTCATGAAACAGTTTCATAGATTCAAGTGACTCTTCAAATATGATAAAATGCATCGATAAAAGCTTAACAATGAATATATAAATATAAAATAATAGTAAATTTATTACATAAATTTAGAAACATAACGAAAGACTTTAAAATATTAAAATCCCGATTGAGATGATGTCTCCGAAACAATATTTATGCATATATCTGTGAAATAAATGTGTATAGGCCTTCATTTTATAAGTAAAAGCTTAAGAATTTTAGAAGAATTTTGTTATAAAATAATAATTTTTTTTAAATCCTTATTATCAATCCCTTATTTATTATAATTAATTAAGTTAAATTCGAATTTAATTCACTGAACTTTTATGCCATAAATTCATTGAATATTTTGAATTATTTATTGCAAAAATTTACTTTAATTAATTTAAATCTATATTTAATCTATTAAAATTTAAGCACAACGTACTGTACAATTAGAAAAATTAAAATGTAGCAATTTTACTATATAAATAAATATATTAAAAAATATTTAATTCGATTTATATTCATAGCATTATATTAAATTTGGCATCATAAACATCGAAGGAAGGATTTATCTTTACGAAGTGGAACCGACACGACGATAAAAACCGCCATTTTGTTTCGTAGACATTCTCCTTAATCATCTCGGTAACATTTTAAAATATTGATTAACAAATTTTATTTTTCATTAAAAATAATGTTAAATTCTCTTTTGGCCTTTCGTTTAAGGCTCTAAATTAAGGCTTTAGAAAGTACAGTAAAGTCTAAGTTACAAATTTATGAGCCGTACACTTAGGGATTAGGTAAACAAGTCTTATTTTAGGCCACCTGTCAGAAAAGAGTGGCAAATTTTTCGTATAATGCTATTAAACCAGACCCGTTGCTTAATCTGATTATCATATTCCGTATTTATAATATAAATAGGAGGTAAATTGAGATCCTAACAGGTGACATATTAACTATCGAGATCTTATAAAACACTCCCGAATGCGAGGTCCATATATTAACAGTGTATTATGAAGTCGTAGCAATGTTAATCCTAAGGACAACAGACTGGGAGTTTTTCTGCTCCTTTATCCTTTATAATCCTCGGTGGTTCCGATTGAGAGGACCATCTGTTGGGGGTTTTGATGCACGTGTGAGATTAGCGTCAATGCTTAAATGGTGGTTTTATTATCGTGTTTCTATAATGATTTCAGTTCATGCTCACTTCTACATTTGTGTCCCTTAATATTCGATGAATAAATAATGATTTTTAAGTATCAGATATTTATTTTTAAATAATGACGCGGTGT